AGACTATGGTGCAAAGACCACATAGGGACAGGCAGTCGTATCTGAGTATCATATCTGAGTGTCATATCTGAGTGCCTGGGTGGGTGGGATTCACAGTGGAGAACTTCAGCTTGGTCCAGGCCTGCCCTTCAGGAGAAAGCATCTGTGCCCTAAAATCCTCAGCTCTAGATTCGCCAGCCAAGGTTTTACGTTTATAAAACAACTGCCCACGTATATTGAAAGCTGTTCCCCAGCAGGCTTTTTGGCATGTCTAAGCTGTCAGCAAACACTGAGCATCGTATTTCTGGTATTCTGAGTATTGCTTTCCTGAGCAAGGGTCCCATGGGCTGCTGGATGCAGGACAGCCTTTGGGAAACGGTCGTCCCCACACATTGCTACATGCTGAGGCGTTCCTTCCACCCTGCCTGTAGGGGCGCACCTGGAGTCTCGGGTCCCTTATTCCATGTAGGTTTCCTGCCTCCCAGCACTTGCTCTTTTCTCCAGCCGCTACCTTGTGTCCAGCTTGTTCCCTGCCTCCTCCTGGAACCCTCGTGGCTGTCCATAGTCACTCCCATCTCCCCAGGCACTTCTGTCAGACGAGTGTCAAGCCATTGTGCCAGTGGGGCCCTGGCCTGGTGAGGGGTACAGGAGTAAATGGCCACTGCTTGCACGCCATACACACTGTCCTTGTACCACGGAACAGGGAGGCTAGAGGTGTTCCCGGTCACCCAGGGACATAGGGAACATAGAAGGGTTATGTGGACCACCCATCCTAGGCCAGGGGGCTTCCCAGTCAGGTAACCAAGGAGGGAAGCAGGGCGGGTTCCAGAATGATGACAGAGCTGTGGCCTTTTGGCGTCCATGGCATCAGGTTCAAGGAGATGGTACTGAGGAGAATCACGCCTGCTCGGAGTGCAGAGCCTGGGGTGTGGAGCCCAGGGTGCAGAGCACAGGACACAGAGCTGGTTCAGCCTGTGTGCGGCGCTGGGTTCGTTTGCCACAGCGCTGCTAACTTCCTGGAGACAGGCCGCCTTCAGCAGACCTCAGACTCTCCCTCCACCACTCCAATTCAGCCTGTTCACTTCGACCCTGCATTTTGGGAGGCAGATTGCATTTTCACCAAAGCAAGGGCCGGGAAACCCTCAGCAGGTCACACAGTGACTTCAGCACATCTGGTGATGGCAAGGGAATGACCGGGAGCTGCTCCAGCCAGCTGAGATGTGTCAGGTGTGCTGGGGAATTTAAAGTGGTGTTTTTGAAGCTTCTTTTGATTTTTAAGAACTTACTGTTTTTTTTTTACTGTGCTTGGTCAAAACTGTGTGTAATAATTCCGTGAGTGATGCAGGTTGGCTGTGCTCACTGTCAGCCCCAACACAGGAAAGCCCCAGAAACATCCAAGCAAAAGGCCTGAGACCCAATAAAAATGGCAGTTTGTGAAGACAGAGAAGGAAACATCTGGCTTGAGCAGGAGCCCAGATCTGCAACCTTACTCAAATGTGAGAATGCATTGATCACTCTGAAATGAAGTCACTCCGAAATCCACTTTCCAATGTTTCAAACTGGCAACAAGTCTGTTTCACAGCCACTTTTGGTACAGGGGTGGATTCCTACCAGACCCTGTGTCCACTGATGAGTGAGCGAGCAGTTCCCCCCACAGGCTCATTGGGCCGTGTCTATACAGAGGACAGATGTCCATGTGGCTCAAAGGAGGGCCCTCCAGTGTCCGCCGTCCAGTGTCCGCCGTCCCCAAGGGCTGTGTGTCACCAGCTGTAACAACACTGGGAAGAGTCATGTGTGTTGTGCTGTCCCAGGGCTACACAGCTGGAGAAAGGCATCACAGCACCACTGTGACTCTAGGGAGACACTAAGCAGGCGAGGTAGCCACACCTATCACCCCAGTACTCAGGAGGCTGAGGCAGGAGGATGGCGAGTTCACTGGCAGCGTGGGTCACACTGGGGACCCTGCCTCAGAAGAAAGGAAGGCTCCGTGGTGTCCTGTTATGGGTGTGAACTCTGCAGTCATTCTGTTCACACCAGAGAGAAAAAACTGACAACAACCAGACAGTCTGGAGAGGGGATTAGCATGGTGACCCTGCAGAACTTCTACTCCTCTGTCAGTCACCATGTGATAAAAGTTTTAGAAGGCAAGAAAGAGCTGTGGAAGGTTCTGACAGTGTCTGGCTGCAGATTCTCCCATTCCCTCCCGTTCGCGTTCTGTGCTCCATGCTCCATGTCCAGTGAAGAGCCCGTTCTGCAGCAGCACCTGCCCTCATTGCCATTTGTGCTTTTGTTCACTGGACTCTTTGTGTCCAGGACAGAGTGTCCCATCACCTGCATGGACAGTCTTGTTAACAGATTAGGTGTAAGGACATTTTATCCACACTTGGGGAGAATGAGTGTGCTGAACTGCCGGTGGGGTGGGGTGGATAGGCTGAGTCTAGAAGGTCATCCATCTGTTATGTCCTAACACTAACTGATGTTTCAAGGCAAATGGACGGCCACCAATAATGCCCGCAGTGATTAGATGTGAAGTAAAACATTAAAAAAGTGAAAACCCTGTTGGATAAGCAGGGTTAAATGAGCATAAATATGTTTATACCGTTTGTGTAAAGCAGGTGACAATAATTTACTAATTGCTTCTGTTGGCGCAAATGCCAGGGAGGCAGGAGGGCTGTGGTTCCACGTCTGTCACTTCTTGCCTACATTTACAACTTGCTGTTCTATTTATCAAGTAAAGATCCCTTTATTCTTGCTTATAAGGAATCCCGGTGTGCCAGAGGAGGGGTTTCTGACCTCTGTCCCGTCTGTGTGTGGCAGTTTTATCTCCAGTCACAGTCGTGGTTTATGAAGGCATCCTGCAGACTATAGCATGGCCGGCACGGCCTGGCATGGCTTCTTCCCTGTCCACTCAGCCACCGCTCAGACATCTGTGCTTTGTCCCTGGCTCGCCTGTGTGCACCTGGTCTTATTTTTCTCTCTTCTTTCATGATTTTTTTTGGGGGGAGGGAAGTGTCAGGTAGGTGTGATTTAAGTAAAGTAATATTCCCCAGTTAGATGTACAGGAATGTGAGTTTTGAGAAGTGCCTAAGGCGCGTAACCACCGCCAGTCCCCAGGTGATTCGCTGGGATCATGTTGTGTGGCTGCCAACGAAGCAGAGAATAAACACGTGTGACCGCCAGCAGCTCGCACCACAGTGGGTGTGGACAGAGGGGGGGTATGGGGTGATGAGAGAGAGAGAGAGGGAGAGAGAGGGAGGGAGGGAGAGGGGGAGAGAGGGAGGGAGGGAGGACAAGAAGCCAGAGAGGGCAGTGTGAGTGTAAGCGAGGTTCTTAGAGGATGGGGATTTGAGCACTGCTGTCCAAGACCAGCAGATCTGGAAACCCACACTGAGCCCGGTGTCTGTGGGCAACACTGGAGTCAAGCTGGGGTAGCCGACCAGAGTCCAGGGCGCCGTGGTGGCGATGGACTGCGGGCCCAGCCGATGCCAAGGGCGGTCAGAAGCAGCGCCCGTCACCCATGCTGCGGCTGCTTCAACATTGTCTCTGATGTCGTCAGAACTCTCAAATCCAACTGCTCATTTTAGTTTTCTCTTCCAAAATTGGCACCATTGAAGGGTGGGATGCAAACCCCGCCTCGGTATCACCGGAGCACAGGTGGTAGTGACATCATGGCCTTGCTCCCTTCCAGAGCCCAGGACACCACTGTCTCCAAACACAGGAGAGATTCACCTAGAGAGACCAAATGCAGAGTCAGTCGAGTTTCAGTGAATTTAAAACCTTGGCATGACACTGAGTTCTCTGGAATCAGATCTGAATAACACCTGAAGCAAGCTCCCGAAACCTGGAGATTCATACAGGCCACCTCCAAATGACTCATGGTGGAAGCAGGGGACAGGGACGTGGGACTTCACTGTGAAATGCAGGACGAGGAGGCAGCCATTGCCTCACTTGACACAAAATGCTGGTGTGACTCCAGGGCCCCCACCCTTCCTCCATTGGTCAGTCACTGGCGTGGCAGCAACTGTCCCTTGTTCAGGGAAGCTTGGCCTGGCCCATGGGACTGAGTGTCCTGGTCCTTCCCGTCCAGCTCCACTGGTTGGTATCTGCTGTGTTCCTAGAACAGTGGAGGGGAACTCAGGAGAGCAACACAAGTTCAGGTCCAGGGTCCTCAGCCGGCCCAAGTCTGGTCAGTGCTGCTCCCTCACTCAACCCTGCCTGGGGATCTCGCTGCCCCATTTCTGACTTGTGAATGTCTGCAGTTCCCTCTGGGTTTCTGTTTTCTGTGAGAATTGCCCTGCGTTTTGGAGTTTTGTATCTCCCACTACCTCTACTTCAGCCTGCTCTTTAGTTATCTGTTTTCCTTTATGTGGGCTTGGCATGGAGTGTGTCCTGCTGGCCGCGAGGGTCACAGAGGGTGGGAGGCGCCAAATTCAGAGGAGTAGTTGGCTCAAAACTCACAGTATTTTGGCAGACCCATGTTGGAGGAGTTATGGAAACACATATTCATTCAACAAACACGCATAGACCACATGTACGCTGGGCACTGTAGTCACTACCTCCGACTCATCAGAACAGTTGTCAGAGCAAAGGTGACCCTGAGTCCATGCTGGAGACTGAGTTAGATGCTTCCCACTGCAGAGGAGGGAGGGGTGCGGGGCAGGGTGAGGCATGAGGAGCGACAAGGAGTGGGGAGCCCGTTGTGGCCAAGGCAAGGCGTTGGTGGGGTGTTAGGAGGTGAGCGAGGGCTGGAGAAGGGGTGAGAGGCCAGGAGGTTCTCTCTGCTTAGGGTTTCACCCGCTTCTGAGGACATGGCATTCCCCCTCACCCGGCCTCCCCTGGCCTGGCCTCCCTCTCTGTGCTCACTGGGTGTTTTCAGAAGCGGGAGGAGCGGGAGCAGGAGCCCGGTGCCGCCACTCATGGGGCACTAGGGGCTTTCAAAGGCGGGGAGGAAGACACTGGGATCTGAGCGCTGTTTGAAGACACCTGCTGCCACCCTGAAATCTTGTGTTCTCTTCCTTTAGGGTTCTTGCTATTTAAAGATTTTTGTTTGAATGAGATTAATGACGCTGTTCCTCAGGTGAAGTTTTATGAAGAGGTAAGAAACAACTTTTCCTGATGCTTTGTTTCAAAAGCGTATTTAAATTGAAACCCTGCTTTGCAAGACGTTAAGAGTACTAAGTGTTATGAATTTAGAAATTCATCAGAAGTAATTAGGGCAGAACGTGACGTATAATTTATTAGAGCTAAGCACACCTGCAAAATGCAGGCATGTTCCAAAAACCACCTTCCCTGTAGCCTTGGAGCTGGATGGGCACTGTAGGGACGAGGATGAGCCATTGGGGCGCCCAGGGCACCGGCCAGTCTGTTCTTGGTGATGAGAGCTGAGGCCACCGGCCACTGCTGGGCTTGAAAGAAGAGTGAGCAAAATTCCCTGGTCATGCTGACGTGCCAAGTTGGGAACCTGCTGGGGGTGGGGCGTCCAGCCAGCTTCCCAACAAGACATCAGGTGAAATCTGGGGCTGGACTGATGTTTCCAGAAGGCACATTGCTGTCTACCTCAGCCTCACAGATCTGGGGAAACTCAGGCCTCATGGGGCAGGAGACCCAGCAGCCGGCAAGAGGCTAGGCAGAGTTTGTGGCTGGGACACCAGTGAGGTGTGGGTGAGCCACACCCGAGCCAGCTGACACCTGCCCAGACCACCTGTGAGCAACAGGTGCAGAGAGCAGAGGGACAATGGACAGGGCTTGGAGAGGGGAGGGGACGGAGGCTGAGGCAGCTTCACTGGTGGGAGTTGATAAAGGAACCAGCTGGGCATTGTAGTGTTGGAGTGAGAGGCAAAGACGAGAAAGATGATCAGGAGGGAAGGAAGGTCAGTGTCAGAGAGAAAACACATACAAAAGAGAAATAGGTGAGGATATCCAACACCCATGGGGAGACATGCCTGTAATCCCAGCACTCGGGAGGCTGGGACAGGAGGACTGATGTTTGAGGCCCGGGCTACATAGCAAGACCCTGCCTCAGAAAAACAACAAAGATAAACAGACAGTCTGGGAGCAGGAGTTCCAGACGGGAAGAGCGAGAGAAGGGCAGAGCTATGTTTCTAGAGAAAGCAGGAGCAGTTTCACAGGATAAGGAAGGGTGGCTACTCACAGGTGCAGAAAAGCTCAGAAAAGCCGACAGAAGGAACACGGAGGAAGCATGTGTCTGTCCGTCCATCTGTCCATGTAAGAATGTGGAACTTACGTCCGCCAATGAGACTGTTAAGCCCAGCTCTGGCTGGGCAAGAGGACAAGTGACCTTTGGGGACCAGTGGGCTGACGCTGGGCATCGCTGGAGAAAAGCAAAGGCAGTGACACGGCCGTGCTTGAAATGCCGAGAGAACCCAACACTGCCGACCAGAAACGGTTCCCAAGTGAGTGTTCCTGTAAGAGGGAAAGTGCGGTGAAGGCGTGTTCAGACAGGCCATCTGGACTCGGTCAGGACCTGCGTCGCTCAAAGCTGAAAAAGGTCCTTTGGGCAGAGGACGTCCCAGGGAGATGCGGGGGACATGGTTGGGGGGGGGCGGCTCACACAGGAATGGAGGGGAGGCTCTGGGATGGTTGTGGGGCGGGCGGCTTTGGCACTGGGGTGACCTCTAAGGTGACTTGTCACAGAGTAAAGCATGTATCTAATGGTCAGAGAACAATGGGATCGAGAGACATCCATTAGTCTTAAAATAGGGGAAACGAAATAGCGGGGTGGACAGAAGCCGTCGGTGCCCGTGGACTGAACGCCAAGTGGAAGCCGAGTGTTTAGGACTGGCCACGTGCCATGGCAGGAAAGCGAGAGGGCAGAGGCCAATCTGCCCCTACGTCACCACAGCCGTGGCCACGCCAGGGACGGACTCGCTGCACCAGGATAGAAAGAGGCCAGCGCCACGGCAGCACGATCTCAATTTGATGTCACAAATAACGTAATCTCAAAGTCCCCAGAGCAAAAGCTGGCAGGTGTTAAAGGAGACAGATCTCCTTTCAGGACTCCCAGGACAGACAGACAGACAGCATAACCAGTAAGGATTGGAGAACCTGACCGGACTCACACCTGGGACCTGGAGCCCGGAGGACAGTGCTGGGCCCCGAATGCCGAGTGGTTGAGAGCATCACAGTCACTATGGAGTAAGCCCGAAGGCCACAGTGCTTGGAAGTGGAAACCCCTGAGTGAGGGTCAGGGACAAATGAAAGTGGAGTTTAGGCTGCGTCTCAGTCAGAGCTCATAGAAGGAGCAGCAGCAGCACGATGGCCTTTTACCCTGGATCGCTTCTTCAGATGGCCTCGCCGCGCAGCCTGGCTGGCCTTGTCCCCGCCATCCTGCGCCACCCCGCCAGTTCCCTCAGCACACAGCATTGCAAGTGATCAAAGGAGAGGCTTGGCACCACTGTTTGTGTAAGTTGTGGAGAAGCGCCTTCCCTCTGGCTTTCGTGCGTGTGTATGGAAATGTCTTACTTTTCCACACTTCACAATCACGGTAGTGCATTTTAGAAAGAGTGCTCCAGTTCAGCCTTCACTTGCCAGCTGGGTATGTGGTTCACTTGGCAGAGCGTCCACCTAGCAAGTATGAGGCCGCGAGTTCAAACCCTACTGCCACCAAAAAAAAAAACAAAGGTACATTCAGTATCATGCAAACAAAAATGCGGCTGCCCCGGGGCCGAGGCTCACACCTGGTGACGGTTCAAAGCCAGTCCGGGAAAATAGTAATAGTTTATGAGATCCCAGCTCAAAAAAACCCTTCACAAAAAAGGGCTGGTGGAGCGGCTCACCTGGTAGAGCGCCTGCCTGGCAAGTTCGAGGCCCTGACTTCAAACCTCAATACCACCACAAACAGAAGATAAATGAGGCTAAATCTCACAAGATTTTGCTCAGCATGTGCTGACCTTATTATTTCTGTCTGAACCACAATCACATCTTATCATCTGTTGAAAGTTCTTGTTTTTCTTTCTTGTTCGTGAAAGCGTCCACTCTGGAGTTTTAGCATGTGCTAAGTCACCTATCACACGGCCAGCGGTGACTCTGCTGCGTTGGCACTGAGGCCCACCCACAAGTAACTCTGTCCTAGGTGCCTGCTGTGGGGCGGTGGCACCTTCATCCCTTGTGTCCATGGACTTAACGCAGCTCTCTGGGGCTGCTCCTGGCGCCTCTCTGCTGCCTCTGGTGTGGACAGAGAGCCTGGCTGGGATGGAGGTACAGCTGCACCAGGGGACACGGGGCAGTCATCTGGCCGTCCCTGCAGTGGAGCTCTCCCTGAACTCAAGGGCACCTAACGTCCACGTTCCAGGCACCTCATCTGTCAGCAAGTTGTGACCATCCTCACAGGCGACCTGTCTCCCAGGGCTGCCTTGCAGCACAGCTGGACAGTGCCCAATGTGTCCGGGGCTCCTGTGTCCACTCGAACTTCCTGTCCCAGTGGGATTGCAAGGGAACTCATAAAATGCAAATGTTACACCCAGATCCGAGGTGAGCCCCAGAAAAGGGAGGGTGATGTCACCCCTTAGGTCAGCCTGCCAGGCAGAATGTTGTTCAAAGTCCGTTCCCTCGCTCCGATTGTTGGGCTGGCACTGTTGAGTGAACAGACACCAAGCCTGCTCTTTGGAGCTGTTGTTCTGGTCGAGGGAAGGAGACAATGAACGACAGAACGATGGTGACGCAGACCGGGAGTGTGTGGAGGAGGACCTCTCGCAATGACACCGTGGGTCCAGGCTAGTGTGGGGTGTTGTGGCTCACTGGACAGTCCCAGGCTGTCTCAGTGGGTGGCAGTTGGACAAAGAGCCTCTTGGAGGTGGGCACCAGAGAGCATTGTAGACGGATATCACAGTGGAGACAAAGTCACTAACTCGGCTGCCATGACCAGAAGGACAGTGCGTGACCTGAAGTTAGGTGGAGACACAGGGCTCAGACTGTCTCTAATGGCTGTGGAAGACATAACCAGGGTGTGAGAAGTGGGTTCTGTTGATACTGGTCAGGTCCAGGTGGCCACTGTGCCCTGTCCTCGGCCCCCTGGACAATTTTGTATCTGGTTGTTCTGCCAGGGCACAGACAGGACGGCATTGGAGTCACCAGCACTGTCAGTTCCCCGTGCGTTTGGCGGCTTATACACAGTTCCAATGGCGATGTCTCCATGTGACTGTCACAGACTGGGCAGACACAGATCACCACCTGTCCACTTGCAGTCTGTGCACGTGAAGTTCTTTTAGAGAGCGGTGGAAGGGTCTTGGCCATTTTTCCGCCTCTGACAGTTTCTGCTTCTGAGTGAGGTGACACTGGATACTGTTTGTCTGTTGTAGGGTTTGCTGCTCTTTACCCTGTACGTGTGTGGTGTTAGCCAAACCTAGGAAATTAGGATGGCGACTTCTGACAGCAGCTTTCCTCTTCTGGGACTCAGATTGTGCTAGATTTTCGGATGTTGTTCTATGAGTGAGGTTCCGTTCAGTTTTTTGCCCCAGTACCTTTTCTTTTTCTCTGTTTCAGATTGGATAATTTCTCTGTCTGTGTTCAAATTCAGCCACCTGATATCTGTCCATTGACAGTTTTATCTCAGATACAGCATTGTTACTCTGGAGTTTCCATTTGGTTCTCCTTATGTAAAGTCCTGATTTTCTCTACTGCTCTCTCTGTGGCTCCTTCACCATGCAGGTGCTCTTTCTCTCTCTCTCTCTCTCTCCCCTGCCCCTTTTCCTGTTACACTTCAAGGTCGCCATCTGATGATCCAGCACCTGGCCTCTTGGGTCTCCTCCTTGCATGTAGGCTCCATTTCCTTGTTTTTGGGGTGGAATAATTTCAATTGCATCTCAATGCAATTGAGCTCCAGGGTGAGGAACATTTTGTTTCAGTGGACGCTGAACTTGGGTCAGCCCGGGGCTCCGTCTCCTGTGGTGGCCTTTGCTGGCAGCTACGTCCGCTATGTCTGTGTATCCTCAGATAGCCCCAGAGGTGGTGTTGGGACAGTTTAGGGGCTCACCTTTTGTGGCGCTTTATTTTCAGAAGTACCTTCTGTTTTTATAGTTTATTTTTTAATTACCATACATCGATAGTACAGGGGGGTGCAGTGTGCATTGAGCAGCTCATCTTTCCCCTGTAATCCCTCCTTTAAAACATGTTTGGTGGGTTTCATTTCTTTGTTCCCATACACACATAGCGTCCTCAGATCCTTTCACCCCTCCCTTTCCTCCTCCTCATCCCCACTGTCCCTCTTGGCTTCTGTTTGGTGTTCTCCTCCATTGTCTTTGTGTGTCATGTCTCTCTCCATCACCTTTTTTATTTTGAGGTCCTGGGATTTGAACTCAGGTCCTACACCTTGAACCACTCCACCAGCCCTTTTTTGTGATGGGTGTTTTCGAGATAGGGTCTAGTGAACTATCTGCCTGGGATGGCCTCATACTGCGATCCTCCTGATCTCTGCCTCCCGAGTAGCTGGGATTGCAGGTGTGAGCCACTGGTGCCTGACACACCCGGAACTCTCCGTCACCTTGACGTAATGGTTCCTTCTGTCTGGAGTCCCCAGCTGCCAGCTCAGGCAGGTGGCTCTGCTAGGAGCTTGTTGACTGGGTTCGTGGTTAATTTTGAAGAAGGCACAGACACCACTTGCTCACTCACTTGGTGAGTCGGTGGCAGAGGGGAGGCCATGGGCGTCACTTGCTTTTGGCTGAAGCTGTGGGGATGCAGTTTCAGGATGAAGAGGACAGGTGGCCCATGTGACTGCTGTGCAGAGGACGTGGAAACCGAGGGCTCTATGTAGCTGAGTTAAACTCGAGACGCCCCCGCCTGCAGGGTCAGGAGCATGGCTGGGTGTTTAGAATCCGGAGCTCGGTGTCCCAGTGAGTCCTGGGGGTCCTGAGCGAGTGGTCAGGTTGTCACTGGCATTTGACACCCTGCGCCTGCCTGGCTTGGCCCAAGGAGAAGGAGAATGCAGCTTGTGACGAGGGCACCAGGCTCTGAGGTGTGGCCGCGTCTGCAGATCAGCAGAGGGAGATTGAGATGGAGGGGAGGAGCAGGGTGGCCCTGCCTTGGGGACCTCGGAGGCCAGAGAAGCAGCATCACGGACAGTGGGAACTCCTGGGCCCAGGGCTACCGCCAACTCGATGATGTGCAGGAGGAAGGAGAGAGCCGTGGACTGGGCAGGGCGAGACCCGAGTGACTAGGGTCCAGCTCCCTGCTGGTGGTGGACCCACCCGTGGCAGCCATGACCAAGGATGCTTACACTCAGGGCTCAGGTCCACCTGGGAGCAGAAAGGGGCTGCAGGGCCCATGTGGCCGCCTCCACTGACCGCGTGTCTGTCCCTCAGTGAGAGGCTCTTCACCACCGGAGCAGAGCCTTGTGTGCTCGGGCACCTGGACGAGCCTCCCGGCATGAAGCAAGTGGTAGAGTGGAGGCTCCCTCTACCACTCGGTGACGGGTGCTGTGTCCTCAGTGGCCTCCTTGAGGGTAGAAAATCAAGTCTGAGTTACAGCCACAGACACCTGGTCTCTGTTTTTCCTGTGACTTACCTTTCCTGTGTTCAGGTTGGAGTTTATCAGGCTCCAACCTAAGGAAAGGTCACCGCGGGCCCATGAAGGCAGTCCCCGGAAACCTCCAGAGAACGTCTGTCGCTCTGTGGGCCTCTGGTTCATGGACTTGCTCCTCATCACGTGTGTGGACAGTCAGTCGCTTGATGAACGCCTGGCTCTACTGTGGTCCTTACTGTGTGCAGGCAGTGACGTGCCTGCAGCCGGTGGTGTTTGATCACTGCACGTTCTGGTGGCAGCTCTGAGCCTGCCAAGATGCAGCGCAGCCAGAGGAGGGGACAGGCCTGTTGCTGCCCGCCTGCCCCCTCGTGGCCAGCATGTCTGCCAGCTCTGCCGTGCTCCTGTGTGGTTGCCTGCTTTCAGGAGTCAGTGGGAAGGGGACATCAGGTCCTTGGTGACGCCGGCCTCCTGGTTCTCCTGGAGACAGCCTTGTCCTCTGGGCAGGCCACCAGCTGGCCCAGGCTCCTGCCGTCATCAGCCCTTGCTGTCTGCCCTGAGCAGACAGTAGTTCAGGTGGCATTTCAGCCATCGCCATGTCAGTTAAGACTGTCCAGTGACTTCCTGTTGTGAATCAGGGAGCTCCAGTGTGGACCCTCAGGGTCAGACATCCCTCTGCCCTCCACACACACCGTGTCCTGTGTCTGTCCGTAGTCCTTGCAGGACTGGCTGGGCTCTGACACTGTCACCCGAAACCCCTCGAGTCAGGGGAGCTTGTGCCCCTGTTAACTGCACTCTCATAGGTGAGGTCAACCTTGACTGTCCCCGGAGGGAGGCACCATGTGTCCTGGGCAGCGTGGGAGTGGCTGCCTGGTGGGCACATTTCCCAGAGCAGGTGGCCACGTGTCACAGGTGTGCCCAGGCCCTTGCCGCAGGCCTCTTCCTGGCTCTACATTAACCTTAGCTTTTCAGTCTTGCCTTTGTGTTAAAGTGATTTCTGGAAAGAGTTGGGAACATTTCCATCCAGGCCCTTCTGTTGCCAGCTCAGAGCGATGGGGCCATGTCCACGTCCAGGCCAGGGTACGCTTCCTCACACAGTGTTTGAAGTGCTGCCTTTGAGGTGACCTTTCTGTGAATGCTTTTGTAGTGCTGAAAACCCAGCGTGGTAGTTTAGGGGTTAATTCCTCACTGTGGCACTCCCTGTGGCTGATTTTCACAAGTCTCTGCAGGAGTCCTGACCAAGTTTTCCTCCTGTCACTTTGGGAAGGCTGTGGCTCAGAGCCCAGCAGAGCCCTTCGACCTGACCTGCAGCCAAGTTTAAGTATGATTTGTTTGGAGAGATGGCTGGCGAGGACGGATGGCGGGCCTCATGCGTTGTGAGACATGTCAGTGACAGTCACCCCAGGGCAGCAGCAGGTTCTAGGACGGCATGACCCAAGAGTGGCACCTTTACATTGCAGATAAAGGAGTACGAGAAGCTGGACAACGAGGAAGACCGCCTGTGTCGGAGCCGGCAGATCTACGATGCCTACATCATGAGGGAGCTCCTGTCCTGCTCACATGTAGGTGCTTTGTCTGGCCGCGACACGCCCTCCTGTGTGTGTCCTCCTGTCACGACACGTCAGGGTGTCTGAGAGGCACGGTCAGTGTTTCCAGCGTGAGCAACTTGGGAGGAACCTGTTTAAACATTGAAAATTGCATACCCGGGATGGGGTGGAGTTCTTGTGCCCTCTTGTTTTGTGACAGGAGTCTCACGTAGCCCAGGGTGGCCCAGAACTCGCCGTCCTGCCTCACCCTCCGAGTGCTGAGATTATAGGCGTGCACCACTTTGCCAGACTCTCTTCTGCTCTGCCAATTGTTCCTTGTAATTCTGGCACAGAACCTGTTGCATCAGGTTCTCTTAATATATTTCTAGAACCTGATACTCCCACTGCAAAAAATGGCTGGAATCACATGACCAATTTGGACCAGCTGAGGAGAAAGTCTCGGTCTAGACTTCGTAAAGGAAGCCCATTTGTGGTCCTTGCCTGTGCTTGACCACCGAGCAGCATGGCACGAGCTTAGTTTTAATTTAGCTCACTTTAACAATTAGGCCGATCAAAATTGGACAAATGCAAACCTTAAATAACTTCTTCAGGTTAATTGCGGGCATAACTGATAGGTTAATTTTGCTTCCGAATGTTAAGTAATAGGTAAAATCAATGTTTTCTTTGTAAATAAGATACTCTAAGTTGGCCATGACGGTAAACTAGGTTCTTAGGAAATTATTTCCAAAAGGTAGAATAATGAAAATCACCACTTCAAAACACCTGCACATTAATTAAGGCCTTTTCCAAAGGTACAGCTGACAGACCTGACCAACTCTGTCCAACGCAGTAGCCACTGGCCCTGTGTTTTAAAATCAGGTTGGGGACACACAGGTGACCACATTTGCATCTGGCAGAAAGCCGATTGGTGGCCCTGGTCATGGTAGATGGCTCACCATAGTGCCACGCCGTTGTGCCTCGGTGCTCAGAGCGCGGTCACAGTTCTTACCGCCATGGCTTTGAGCTGGCAGAGGAAGACACCTGAGCTGGGACAAGTCCCTGGCACTGTCGCCTCGCTGCATGGCTGGGTCGGCATCCCCGGAGACGCGTGGGGAGCTGGTGAACTTGGCTGTTATGGAGCCCCACCGTCAGCTGGGCTAAGCGGCGTGAGGTGGTGTTTAAAGCAATTTTCCTGACAATTTAAAGTTGTGATCACGGATTACAGTTCGTTCTTCACGTCGTTGCCCAGCTCTGCCCTGGGGAGCTGCAGGGAGTCTTGGTACCCAGAGCCTCTGGTGCCACCTCCTCGGGCCGAGCCTCTACAGTCCTGCATCTGGCTCTGAGCACGAGTTCCTGCATTTGTTTTTATATAGGAGATATTTTACCTTTGCGGACCACCTGGACAGGTGACAGTAGGGTCCTCCAACCCCCCTGACCACTGGACCCTTGACCTCAAGGGGGGAGACTTGTCTGCTGCCCATCCAGGCACATGGACACCAGAGGGACAAGCCACAGGTTTTAAGAATCCTGCTGAGAGTTTCCTAGGCTACCATTTAGCACTTGTCGTGCTGAACTACCTGCTGTGTGTTCCGTGATGTGCAGTTTTGGTACTTTTTATTGCTAAAAAAATACTCTTTGATTTTTTTAAAAGCCATTCTCAAAGAAAGCTGTAGAACACGTACAAAGTCACCTAGCCAAGAAACAAGTGACATCAACTCTTTTTCAGGTAAGATGAAATTCCTTTGCAACAAGTGTATCTGATTTGCTCTGTGGGGCTAGGTGACACTTTTTGGCATGTGTGAACGCAGTGCAGGAGCTGTTTTGGGAACTGTGCTCTCTCTGGATGACCAGAGCTGGTCCTGGCCATCTTCTCACTGTCACCTATTTCTACCCAAGAGCCTGGTCTTCCTGGAAAAGGCCAGGAGCCATCTTCATGGTGCCAAGGTGCAAATCCTTCCAGGAAGAAGGATCTGACACCTTGGTGCCTGTGACAATCAGGGACCTAATGAGATTTATTTCCTCGTGTCAGATCTTGGTGTTTACGGTGATTGTTCTCAGATTATGTGGATTTATTTTCAAAGAACCAAGGTTTGCACACAGTGCAGGCCTACAGGGTTAAGTGACATCGGATTTGGCATCATCAGGACAAGGCCAGGCATTTGCTGTCCCTTCGCCGGGGCAGGGCTCCTCCTCCACAGCCTTTGGCCCTTCTGGAGAGGGTCACCTTCCCAAGGAGACGGTGTCCTTTTTATGTCTATGTTGATTATAAAAGGAAAGAGTGTCCTTGAGCTATGTACAAATGAAAGTAGTTAATTTATTCTTGCCTTGGGTTATTTAGTCAATTAGAGGGAGGTAAACTGATGTTGATTTGCTGTCCTATGAGAACATTTATTTATGCAAAACTGAGGCCAGAGTTTTGGACCCCAGGTGTGTCTACCTGCTCCTAAACACCAAATAATGAGGTGGTAATGGTGGAGGCAGAGAAAGGAGGTTTGTTTTATTACATGGCCCAGGACACGCCATGGCAAGAGGCAGAGCGAGAACTCCGCTCATCTTCAGCCATCTTCAGGTACAGACATGAGCTGCAGCTTTAAATAGAGAATTAGGGCAGGGGACAAAAGGTGTACAGAGTTAAGCAGTCCCCGTCGTAGGTGTGTCCTGGTGGCTCTTCCCTCAGTCCTGGTTCTGTGAGGGTTCTGGAGCTGTTACTGTTGTCGTCACTTAGGGGAGCCGTGGCTCCTGTGAGGAGATTGCTCCTGCTCCAGGGAGCACAGTGTAGGCGGTACAGGTAGCTGTCCGCATTTGGAGATTTGGAGATTTGGAGGGCGTCTGTCCTGCCAGGCTCTGCAGTTCCCTTGGGGAAGTTTCAGGCCCTTGTCATAAAGATGTTTCCATCATTCCTGTCCTTCCTTGAGTCCAAGGTGACGGCAGTGGGGAGTGGCTCAGAGGGAGGGACGACAGGTACGAAACAGAGACGGAGGTGCCACGCTTTCTCCTTTCACTTAATTCCTGGCCCAAGAAAGGCTTTTTAGTGAAGGCAGTTCAAGTGCCTGTTAGAAAATGAAGCCGATTTCCTAGAGAGAAGGAAATGCCCAGGGGCGTTAAGTGTTCATCAGAGTAATGAGATGGACCTTTCCTGAAGTGTAGGACCTGTGTGCATCATCCAGAAGATGCTAAGCGCTGGCCATCCAGTCTCGGGGGGTGCAGGACAGTCTTTGGGGTGCTAGGCAACTTCAGCAGCCTCCAAACTCTAGTTTGCTCGCCTGTGAAGTGGGGTGATGCAGATTCCCCTAGAAAGGTCCACGTGGCCTCCTTTACACTGGGCACTGGGTACTCCCATCTCAACATTCCCTGAATCTTACCCATTAGCAGGTGTTTTACAGTCAGAAGGTGCAGTGTGAGCATTTGCCTTGTGTCATCTTCAGTGTGAGAATTTCAGTTTTCAGCTGGCTGCCACGGTGCACCTAGAGCCGAAGGGTCCATTTCCTGTAATGCTGGTAAACTAGACCTGGTTACACGTGGCATATGAGGCAGTTTCCCATTGCTGTACCAGGGTGCTTAGAGCTCAGCCCTTTATAAAGAATCAAGGTAAGCTTGACTGGAGGTCCACAAATGTAGCCTCTCTTGAGGCCCCTTGGCCAAGTCACACCATGGAGATGACATGGCAGCAAGGAGAGGGCACGTGGGGGACTGGAAGCCAGGGAGACAGGGAGGGACTAGAGGTGTCCATCTGTGTGTGACCGTCCTCTCATGAGAACTAACTGGGGTCCCAGGAACCACATTGCCCCTTGTGAGGGCAGCGCCCCAGTGACCTCAGCACCTCCACGTGGCCACGCTGGGGACCACGCTCCCACACTGAGCCCTCGGGGGCCACTTGAGCTTCACTCAAGCTGTGCCAGGTGGGTTTCGTTGATGAGATCGTGTCAGCGAGGTAGATCAGCGTGACCATTTTCACACTGCAGGGAACAGTAGATGCTGCCTCTTCAGGATTCCTTGTTAGAAATAAAAACACTTACTGGTTTTGTTCACTTAAAAATGGACGAAGACAGTGTTCTGGTGGAATCGATTCTGGTGGGCGGTGCTCTTGCTCTGAGATGAAGAGGGCGTCATGTCAGCACAGCACATAGGCTTTAAATAAAAGCCGCACATTGCTCGTCCTGTTTATAGAGATGCACTCACCCTACTCGGGTAGCGTCCATAGCGAAACAGAAATACCCTGAAAGCAAGGACAAAGTGTGTCACATTAAATTCCTCTTGCTGCACAATCAGCTTTGGAGATGAGTGACTGTGGAGGGGGTGAGGCTGGGAGGGATCCCAGCTGGCATCAGGCATCTAACATGCCAGCCCTGGGCGTGTCCTGCAAAGGTTCTTCATGTATTGAATTATTGTGATAGCCTTGCAGCTTGGACAGGGCCCCGTGTGCGGGGAGGGGTTGCACACGGCCTGTCTGCTGAACTTGGTTCTTTCATTCACCTCCCTGGCGTTTCCTGGCTATTGAATGTGGCAGTGTGGTGGTACGAATTCCTGGAGAGTTGCCTCTGGATGTTGGATGAAATAGCAAAGAACACTCATCAGCATAACTGCTTTTGGAAATGGAGTCCCTATGGACTCACCCACTCTGATGCTCTCGCAGCTGAGGGGACGTGGATAGACTCCGTGTGCTGCTGTGGAGTTGTAGGTATCAGCACACGAAAGAACGAGAGAGAGAGAGAGAGAGAGAGAGAGAGAGAGAGGAGGCAGAGCCTCCTCGAGACAGTGATGGGTTGTGAGGGTACAGGTGGCTTTGCCTAGTTGCCTCGCCAGTGTGGTGCTGCCCACTCTGTAGTGGGAAGCGAGGTCCCTGAGCAGCTGTGGCTTCTGTGGGTGCCCTGCCCAGCCGCCCGCTCGTTCACATGGTAAACTCTCAGAATGAACCGTGAAGACAGGAAACGTTACACGTCGCCTCATTCAACACACTAGGGTGTCAGACATTTTCCGGAAAGGCCTCACTGACTCTCCTCCGATCTGTGGAAACGCACTTTATAACTTCGTGGCTGGTGATGGGAAATTCATCACAGAACAGGAAGGAGCGTGGTGGGTTCGGGTCTTGGGGAAACCAGCCCAGAACTGAAGTCGGTTGCAGGCCCTCCTCCAGAGAGGGAGGAGCTCGCACCCTGGAGCCCTCACCTTCTCCCCAGAGGCCGGGGGACGCACCTGCTCACAGCCCCGCGGCCTCCTCGCCTGCAGGAGGAGGCTGAAACCCATGGTAAACACTGACTAAAGAGCATGGCTCTGCGTGGTTCATAAGTTGTGCCTCACTGTTCACAGCGTGCAGGGCAAAAGGAAAATGCAGGGACCTGTTTCCAAAAGTTATGAAGAATTTCATGACAGTGGGAGGGGACCACTGACCCAGCCCTGGGACCCTGGGTGACGCACAGCCTTGGCCATTTATAAGTGCATGTCACCCCGCCAGGAGCCACGCCAGCCAGTAGGGACACAGGGCCACCACTCAGCCTGCCCTGCCTTCAGGGACTCTAATGGTGGAGACACTCATGATGTGCTCCTGAGACCAGCCTGGTAGTGGGGCCTGCCAGCACGAGCACAGGGTGCTTTGAAGGGCACACCTGGCTCCCTCACCTGAGTCCCTCACCTCGGTCCCCCGGGGGTCCCCTCAGGTCCCTGGCGCACTGGGCTGTGCTCTCCACTCCCAGGCTGTCCTGTTCACGTGTGGTTTCTTTTCCTTCCTCTCCAGCCATACGTAGAAGAAATCTGTGAAAGTCTGCGTGGTGACATTTTCCAAAGGTTCAAGGAAAGGTACGGAGCTCCACGTGTGTGCCAGCTGGTCTGTGTGTGGGAGGTCACTGTGTCACCGTGTGCTGTCCTTCACTGGTTCACCCCTGGGCATTCATGGCCGTGATTGTGTGTTAGGCCTTGGTCAGGCCGTTTCCTCCTCACTGCAGCGCACACCCCACGCTTGCACAACCTGATCTCCCTCGACCTTCAGTTCTGCTTCAACGTGGTCTGAAACTCAACCAACCAGGGACCTCCCTGTCCACATGTCCCCAAGGGGGCTAGGCCTGAACCATGGGCCAGGGAGGAGGCTTATGTCTGCTTGTGGTCGTGTGTGTCCTTTGTGTGCCTCGTAAGCACGTCTGGAGGATCACTCAGACGTGCTGGCCATGTGACGTCCTGAAGGCCTGCACGTGTGCCCATGTTCTCCCTCTGCCCTGGGGTTGGGGAGGAGCAGTGTGCACCTGAGTGACCCCGAGACCCAAGCCTGGACACCAGAGCCATCTGTGTCTCCCAAAGAGGAGCCTGACAGGATGGAGCCGAGCTTCTCTGATTGCCAACCCTTTGAGGCCCCTTGTGACTGTCACCTTCCGCCCACCCCCAGCTCTGACCCCCCGAGTGGGTGACGAAAGACGGGGAGCAAGGCCAGGAGACCCAGGGGTTCTGAACACGGCTCTGGGTTCGGGTGTGGAGGGCGGCTCGCGCGACTGTGAAGACCGTGTGCAGTGACTCAGAGCAGGAGGTGACTTTGCCAGCCTCACACGTGTTGGGAGCGCTGGGGAGAGCCCTAAAGTCACCGCAGAGGTTGCCGTGAGACTGCAAGGGTTTCTCCTGGCTCTGCCTGTTCATTGTCAGCCTCAGAAATACTTGCACAGGGTCCTTCAGACCCTCGGGAACTGTGGCAGTCGGCATCCCCGGGCTTCTCGAGCCCCTCCTCCCTCTCCCCCTCTGTCCCTCTGCTTCACCCACACTGAGGACTCTCAGCCTGTGTCAGATATGGTGCTGGGCTGGGGGGTCATCCTCTCCAAGAACATCTCTGCTTTCCCTCCCCCTCCTCCCTCTCTCTCTCTCTCTCATGCTGGGGGTGGAGCTCAGGCCTCACACATGCTAGGCAGGTGCTCTGCACTGAGTCCCACCCCACCCCATGCTACACGTTCCTTTTGGACATTTATTTAATAAAACACACCATTCCGAGGTGGGCACGGGGTGGACGCAGCAGCTTTGGCCTGGCGGTTGAGTAGGTCATGGAGCTGGAGGTCCGTGTGACACACGGCTCCTCGAGGCTGTGTCTGTGGGTCGGTGTGTGTCCTCATCTACCCTCTGTGTATCTCTGGGAGGCGATGTGTTTGGTGTCCCCACTCTCTCCTGTGTGGTCCTGGCCAGGCCACTTCCGTCTGTCTGTCTGCTCCGCTGTGACCTGGGGTCACAGTCGTCCCTATTCGCTCAAGGAGTCATTGGGAAGGCCTGGCACAGGATGAGTGTGGTGTTTAAGCACCTGCTCCTCTCAGATTATTTGTACACTTCAGTTTTCTATAATTTACAACCGCACTATCTAACATGGTGACCACTGGCCACATGTAGCCCCCAACGCTCCATGAGTGCGCCAGTCACCAGACCAAGTCCTGCAAACGTAAACAAAAAGCAGGGGTCCCACTGGTGGCGTCCCCTTGGGCACATGCTGAACTCATCCCGGAATTACATAAAATATTAATTAAAATTGAATAGCGTTTGTGGCTTGTCCCCGTGGGACAGTGCTGACTCAGAAAAATGTCACCATAGTTGTAAGTGAAACGGGAATGCCAGCTCCGTCCCCGTCCCCGAGGCCACACGAGTACCGCCATTCGAGTTGTCCTGCAATGTCACCCTGTCAACCCAGATAACTTGACATTTAACTGTTCAATAATCATTTGTGTTCTCTTTCAGTGACAAATTCACTAGATTTTGTCAGTGGAAAAACGTAGAATTAAACATTCATGTAAGTATCCTCTTTTTTCTTTTTAAATAAAAGCCTTCTCTGGCTCAGTCTCCTGAGAAAGGACTTCATTCTAGACACAGGCTCCAAGGGGCACAGCCAAGGGGCACATCCCACACATAGGCTTTGTGTCCTGTGAAGCCTTTCTCCCTCACCCCGTAAGTGATCGGCACCTCACGCAGCAGTGCGCCCAGTTACGTAAGGAAGGGTTTCTGCCACAATTTGTTGGCCCTCTAACAAAGTCGGGGTGAAAACACCTGTCTTCTGAGCATAATTGACACACGACCTGATCTTTCTGTCCTGCTTGTAAAGTTTTTTTTTTTTGTTATTATTGGATGTGATAATATGAGTTGGTGTCATCTCTTTGTCATTTTGAGAACAAGGAAAGTCACCTTCAAGTGCAGGTGTTTCCTCACGGCTCACTCCCACATTTCCCCCTGGTTTTTGTTTTTTTGTTTGTTTTTAACTGTTTTTCTTGGGGCAGCTCTGTTGAAAGCAGAGAGTTTTGGCCTCCCCCTGCTGTCGTATCTCCAGGCGGATTTAATAGCAAGTAGTTAGAACCTCGTTCGGCAGAAAGTCCCCTTTCTTGCATCCTGCTCTTCAGTGGGCCGTGTGGCCTCCTGGACTCCGAGCGTCAGCCCTGCAGTGTGCACTCCAAGTGCAGCTGACGTGGGAACCTGGTGATTTAGGGGTTGTGGGGACCCAGGAAGCCTCTCCCTTAATTTGCCAGAATACACACACTGTTAGGTGACGGCCTGTCACTGGGGATGCCATGCTTTTGTGCCTCTTAACGTTTTCCCAGCTATGTGCGTGGCAGAACCTAGCTGTGTGCTGTGTCATGTCACCCTGTCCTGTCTCCTGCTCACGCCCAGCACGGGGCTGCCTCACTCATGTCCCAGTGAAGACTCCTATAGTGGCGTCCTGGTCATCTGGCCCGTTCTGAAAACCCATCATATGGACCCTTGTCTATGCACCGTGATGTCTTCTGGATGGGCTGGGCTGCCCCAGCCTTGTGTCCTGCAGCTGGAGAGGAAAACAGTGTGGTGGCCTCTGATCCACCTGTCCTCCTCCTGTTCCCCCATGGAGGTCGACCATGGAGCCGCAGACGTCCTCTCCTCTAGGGTCCCGTCTCGCGGCTTCCCTCAGTCACGGGCAGAACTGCCGTGTGTGTTTGGCGTGGAGTCTTCATGATGACCAGACTTCGGGTGACGTCACGTTTTCACCTTGCAGTTGACCATGAACGATTTCAGTGTGCATAGGATCATCGGACGAGGAGGATTCGGGGAGGTGTACGGTTGCCGGAAAGCAGACACAGGGAAAATGTAAGCTTCGTCCTCACTGTCTCTCCACAGCCACTCAGGGCCTTCTGTCACTGTAGAAAATCCCTGGGTAGAGCCGGGGAACCTGTGATCACGTCCTGAAGAAATTCCCACAGAAAGTAGACTGTGCCTCGCTGAGCACAGGGGACAAGGACCTGGGCCTGACCCTCCTCTTGTAGGGCCACCCCAAGAGCTGGGGTCCAGAGGTGAACGAGGGGCAGTGAATGATAACAGCTAGGGGCATGGGACCTGGGACACACTGGGAGGGAGTTGACATGGTCTTCTGAATGGAGGCTAGCCTGTGATCAGCGAGGACGGTGAGGTCAGGTGAGGAGGTGAGGTGAAGGTGGGGAGGTGAGGTCAGATGAGGAGGTGAGGTCAGGTGAGGAGGTGAGGTGCAGGTGAGGTGAGGTCAGGTGGGGAGGTGAGGTGCAGGTGAGGTGCAGGTGAGGTGAGGTCAGGTGAGGTGCAGGTGAGGTGCAGGTGAGGTGCAGGTGAGGTGAGGTCAGGTGGGGAGGTGAGGTGCAGGTGAGGTGCAGGTGAGGTGAGGTCAGGTGAGGAGGTGAGGTGCAGGTGAGGTGAGGTCAGGTAGGGAGGTGAGGTGCAGGTGAGGTGAGGTGCAGGTGAGGTGCAGGTGAGGTGCAGGTGAGGTGAGGTCAGGTGAGAGGTGAGGTGCAGGTGAGGTGAGGTCAGGTGGGAGGTGAGGTGCAGGTGAGGTGAGGTGCAGGTGGGAGGTGAGATGCAGGTGAGGTGAGGTCAGGTGGGGAGGTGAGGTGCAGGTGAGGTGAGGTCAGGTGGAGAGGTGAGGTGCAGGTGAGGTGAGGTCAGGTGGGGAGGTGAGGTGCAGGTGAGGTGAGGTCAGGTGGGGAGGTGAGGTGCAGGTGAGGTGAGGTGCAGGTGAGGTGAGGTCAGGTGAGGAGGTGAGGTGCAGGTGAGGTGAGGTCAGGTGAGGAGGTGAGGTGCAGGTGAGGTGAGGTCAGGTGGGGAGGTGAGGTCAGGCGTGGAGGTGAGCAGTGCAGGTGGCCAGGCAGAGACGTCTTTCTGGAAAGCCAGTAGCACAGTTCCTAAGTGTGGGAATTTGCTTTCTCTCTCTCTTTTTTTTTAGTGGACTGGGGTTTAAACTCAGGGCTTCCCACTGGAAAGCAGGTGCTCTACCTCTTAAGCCACCCCTGCAGTCCCTTTTGCTTTGGTACTTTTGGTGATGGGGTTTCTTGAACTATTTGCCCAGGCTGGCCTTGAACCTCAGTCTCTTGACCTCAGCCTCCCAAGTAAGTGAGATTACAGGCATGGGTCACCAGTGGCTGGCTTTGTTTTCTCTTTCATTAGAAGGTATTTCTGAGAACAAAACAGAGTGAACAAAGAAGTTTGATAAGCCCAGAATCAGAGGTGTGAGTAGTGACAGACGAGGGGGAGCGGGGTGTATGGGGCCAGTGACAGGTGTCTGGGCCAGGCAAGAAGACACACCGGGTGTCACACACATCCTCTGTCCCTGCCTGTGCCTGGAGCTGCAGCTTTGCCAGGCTCTGCCTTGTGTGTCCCACAGGTCCCTCGGTGGCTTTTCATTATCTGGGGATGGACATCGTCCTTCACCTGTTTGCACAGGGGTCACCTTCCTGCCTGGGCCCTGTGCAGGGGAACCTAGGCCAGGCGCTCAGGCATTGGAGTCTGGGGTCGTCAATGACTGGGACCCTGGTGTTGGGTCCTGGTGTGGGCTCACCAGGGCAGGCCAGCTCCCACAGTCTTCTGGACAGTCCGTGACCTGTCTGGGCATCTGTAGCCTGGTCTATAAGGAGGGCAGTAGTTACGTGGATGATGGCTGTCGTCTTTGGATTGTGCTTGTCCCTCCGTGAGTGCTGGGGGTAGAACTTTGCTCATAGGACCAGGCAGGAGAGCTCATGGGCTGCTCCCTCTCTGGACGTCTCCCCTGGTGATGACAGAGATGCCTTCAGTGTGACCTGACTCTTCTCCCACAGTACCCCGGCGCCACTTGTCTCTGTACCGCTGCCGAGTCCACAGGAGCCATGCACGGCGTGGCGTGGCGTGCCGCCATGGGCTCGGCAGCCATCTTTGTTCTCCAGGTATGCCATGAAGTGCCTGGATAAGAAGAGAGTGAAGCTGAAGCAGGGGGAGACGCTGGCCCTGAACGAGCGCATCATGCTGGCCCTGGTCAGCACCGGCGTGAGTACCCTCGCCCTCTGGTGCCTTCACTGCGGCCTGGGCTCCGTTGTTTGGCATTTGTTTTGGGGTGCTGGCTTCGAACTCAGGGCCTCATCTGCTTCACAGCAGGACGACCTGCACAGCTGCCTAAAATGTGGCCTTGTGTTTCACTCGGTGTTGGTGGTCAGGAAGCCCAGCTGTCCCTGCCATGCACACGGCCCCTGCAGTGCCCAGTCCCTCGCCCTTGACCTTGACCACCTTCTTCCAGAGTGAGGCAGCCCAGGTAGCAGAAGGAACCGTGAGAACAAGTCACTTGACCAGTGACAATGGACTAGGTGCCGAAGGACCGACTCAGGAGGGAAGCTGCTCCTGCCCTTCACGAGCAAGCTGGAGGAAGGAGGGACTGTCACTTCCGAGCTGTCCTCCTGGCTGGCACTTCAGTCCACACCACTGTGGACAGGGTCATCTCTGTCCCCTGGTGGACATTTGGTTTGTGTGTCAAGCCAGTCTTCTTTTCAGCTCGGTCTCCCCTTTTCATTTGCAAAGTGGCTTCCCATTAGTGTCACTTGGAGGTGGCGTGGCCTCGCTTGTCACCTGTGTGCATTGCACTCTGCTGTATACTATTCTAGCTCCAGTCCTAACTGCTTCTAGAAGGGCCGTGTGCTGTTGGAGCAAACCAGTGTGATTTAGCTGAGCTGTGACAAGTGACAGCACTGTGGCTATAAATAACTTATGGTGGCCTCGCCCTGCAGTCTTTCAAGCGAGGTCACCCCTGTGCATGAGGGACTAAGCTGGTCCTGCTGGGTGGAACCAGGTGGCCACATATGTGCTGGTGTCACTGGGAGTGGCCTGTTCTTCCAGTTCTGCTGTGATGGTCGGCCCCAAGTTTCAAAGTTCCACTCACTGTAAATTATGAGTAGTTATGAGGACATTAATTTTTAATGAATTACCTCAAAGCCCATTTATTCTCACAATGCCTGTGGGGAGATGCTGGGATGTTGGGAAAGTCCAAGGCAAGTTTTTGCGGCATGGAAGCTCAAGCCTGGAGGTTCCCCATGGGTCCTGCCTGGGAAGAAAGTAGAGATGGGGTCATGCTGGGCCATACTGTGAACTAGTTTGAAGGGATCACTATGTTTTAGTCAAGTATTGATCCGTATGTGTTTGAAAGTTTATTCACATGTGGTTTGAGCTGGAGAGTTGGAGTTGGAGTGGTTATTTGGGACTGGCTTTGCTGACCCAAGGCCACTCTGGTGGGTTTTTCAGTACATGAGATTTGAATTTTGATGGCCGATGGCCATGAGGCTGGATGTCCAAGGCCAGAGAAGCTGAGGCAGCCACCCTGCTATTGTTTTCCCTGGAAGCCTGCTCTGGTTTCTGGGTCGTCCTGTCCTCATCAAAGTGTCCTCCCCTGGTGAGACGGCAGGGGTTCCTGTCCTGAGTCTTCTGCAGGGCAGAGGGGGAAATGCGTGGTCTGAGAACCAGGATCAGCACATCTGTCTGTCCATCCACAGGTGAGGTGAGCACTCTGCCTGTCCAGACAGGTGGTCACAGGCACAGTTGCTGTGACAGTCACGACCTCTTTTCTCCTCCTGCCTGCCAGACCCTGCAGGGTGAGGTGTCAGTGAACACAGGGCCTGGGGCGGTAGCAGCACGTCTGAGTCCCCAGCCCCACAGAAGGGCAGGGGAATTGAGAACGGGCACCCGGGCCGAGGGGCTGGAGAGTCACACACCAAACCCAACCCACATTGCTCGAGGCCAGCAGCCAGGGTCTGAGGTTCCACAGCAGCCGGGGTGGCCGTGATGGGCTGCAAGTGTGAACTGTGCTCTGCCACAGGGCGGACAGGGCTTCCTGGTCCTCCCCTGCGGCTTCATGGCCCCGGAGCAGTGCTGCTTCTAGGAGGAGGGCCGGGGTCCAGTAAACACTCACAGCAGAACGCTGAGGAAGACTCGGGGGTTCTGAGGTCACCTTGGGTGACTTTCCACGAAGACTTAGGGAAACCGAGTCTGGTTCACCATGTTTCCTAGTGGGAGTGGGAGCACATGGTGTGTGTGGGAGTGTAGGGGGCATTTGGGGGTGTATGGGGGCGTGTATGAGAGTGGGGGGAGGGGGTGTGGGGGTGAATGTGGGGTGAGTGTGGGTGAGTGGGGTGTTAACAGAATCACCCACATGCCGTTTTAACCACACAAGTGCTGCTCGTGACTGTTGGGACTGATAACTCACAGTCTGCAGAGAACGTGACATGGAAGCTGCCATTTTAAAGTCTGAATCTCTGGTGGCAAACACGCGCGGTCCACAAGAGTCTAAACAGACGTGTGGCGCTCAGAGAGCTGACACCATCAGAGGGAACAGATGCGTTCCCATCTAGGGAACCCAGCACTAGGTCGCGATGGAAGACTGCCAGGATTCCAAAATCTCCTCTCACGGCCCCCACCCCATCGTGAGGTCCTGGGATTTGAACTCAGGGCCTCTCGCATGCCAGGCAGGTGCTCTGCCACTTGAGCTGCTCCCCAGCCCTTTTGCTTTTGCGGTAGGGCCTCACGCCTTCGCCTGAGCTGGTGTAGGACCACGCCTTCCCATCTCCACCTCCTGAGCAAGTGGAGTGCAAGCGTGGGCCGCCAGGCCTGCTTGTTCTGAGACGGGTCTCATGCTTTCGCCTGGACTGGCCTAGGATCTTTGTGTCCACCTTCCAAGTAGCTGGGATTACAGGTGTACACCACACACCTGGCTCCTCCTTGCACCCATTTGAGTTGCTAGCCCCATACCCGAGCTAACTGCTCCCCAGGTTCTGACCCAGTGGTGTAGCTGATAACTTGCACCCTCAGCGTCAAGTGTCAGGTGTTGCCTGTGGCAGTGGCTTGTTCTGTAGGGGATGTCAGGGATCAGCCAGTCTAGCTGTGGTCTTTCTGTGTTCGGCCCATGAGCTAAGGATGGCCTGCATGGTCTTAAGGAGTGTAAGGCGCATAAGCAGAGAAGAGTGCACAACAGTGACCACAGGACGCCAGGAACACTGAACTGCTTGCTGCTTGTGCACCGTCCTCTGCTGACAGATACGAGGTCTTCCCCACATTGGCTGGCGTCCACACTCTGTACCTGGAAGGTGGGCTGATAGCTGTGCCCCTTGGGGTGCAGGCGAGGTCCAGCCTTGGTGAGCACAAGCTCACAATTGGCCACAGTACCCATACCTGGTCACCCCACAGCCAGGTGTGGAGGCTCCGGCCACTCCATGCCATCCACTCAATGCTGCCCACTTTGCATGTTGGCACTCGGCTTGGCCAAGTGCGTTCACCTCAGCTTTGTGACCCTTGCTGGTGGCAGGTGTCCTCGGACACAGGAGAACACAGGTCCTCTGTGCATTCACAGATTGCAGTGTCCTGCCCTGCGTTTGGTGTTTTCTGATGAGCGGAGTCTGCATTTCCCCTTAGTGCAGTTTGTTGGTGTTTCTGTGGCTCATGTGTTCTGTGGCCAGTCGTGAAGTCCTTGCTTGCGGTGAGATCCTCAGGGATCTCTCGTGTCATCTCACCAGCTCGATCGTCTGTCTGTCTTCCAGGTTCAGAGTGACAGACATCCAGGTGGTGACATTGGTGTGCGGTTTGTGTTGTATTGTGGTTTGTGTGTGGCGCAGATGCCTCAGGATCCGTGATGGAGAGCGCCGCCCTTTTCTTCCCTCACTCGCACCTTCACCTGCTGTGGCCATTTGTCTGTCTCAGGATCCCGTCTTCTGCCCGTGCTCTGTGTCTGTGACCCCACGCCACGCTGGCTGCCGTAGGATAAGTCCGGGAGTTTGCCACTGTTAAGTCCCCATCTCGGTTTTCTTCACGCGCGTCTGGATTTTCTTGGCTCTTTACATTCATGTACATCTTTAAGTCAGCTTGTCAGCGTCATTTTAATTAAGGTCCCACGGAATCTCAGGTTAGTTAGGATGCGTGAGTTCTGCTCAGCATTGAGCTACGCCTCCCTGACTATGGTATCTTTTCCACTTTCAAAAGCTGATTTAATTTGTTCCTGGTGATTAAACCAGTGCTGTCCCTGCTGTGGTGCAGTTCTTCCATTTCAGAGGCAGAGGTGGAAACGGGTGTCTGACCGGCCAAGGGGACTATAGCTCGCCGTGTCTCTGTCCCCGTCTTTGAAGGTGGAGGCAATGAGAAGTCACACAACCCGTGGGGGACGGCCTCGTCACCTGCTCCAGTGATCACATCGTCTGTCACATGTGACCACAGCCAGATCTGCCAACCCTGACGTCTGTGGTCACTGCGCGGGTGTCGCACCCAGTGTGTGGACAGCGGCATCGGGTGGGGACGAACTCACCAGATGCGCCCACCTTCTCACCAGCCGTGTCCTCCCTCTAGGACTGTCCCTTCATCGTCTGCATGACGTACGCCTTCCACACGCCCAACAAGCTCTGCTTCATCCTCGACCTCATGAACGGTAAGCAGCCCAACGCTTGCTCCGTCCATCCGCCAGTCTCTGTCCATCTGAGCACGTGCTGTGGGCAGGCTGAAGCCTCATGTCTTTTCTACAGTCAGATTCCCCTTCAGTTGTCAGTCACGATTCATTTCACAACCTGCACTGTGGTTTCCCCGTGGCCTGCCCGTCTCTCCTTAGAAGCTGGAGTCCTGTGACCTGGGCTCCGCCGTGGGCTTTGGTGCCTGGCCTGGGGTGGCCAGGCCTGTAATTAGCTTCCACCTCCTCTGGCCCTGGGCTCCTAGGGAGGAAGCGCCTCCTGGAAGTACCGGCCAAAGATGGCTGCATTCACAGCCGGTGCTGACTGCTCACTTTGGGCCAGGAGAGGCTTCAGCCCTCGGATGGTACGCTCGTCTCTTAAACCACGGGCCTTTGCTGGAAAAGCCACTTTTGTAGGCGAGGAAGTGACGTGGTGTACAGCATGGTACACACACAAAGTGTATTTTGGCAGCACTGAGGTTTGAACTCAGGGCTTCACTCTTCCTAGGCAGGTGCTCTATCACTTGAACCACTCCACCAGCCCTGGTTTTTGTGATGGGGTTTTCAAGATACAGTCTCTGGAACTATTTTCCCAAGGCTGGCTTCAAACTGAGATCCTCCTGATCTCTGCCTCCTATGTAGCTAGGATCACAGGTGTGAGCTACTGCACCCAGCTCACTTAAAGTTCTATGTTTTGAGCGCTTAGTGTGAAACCAGATCTGTCCAAATTTCACAGACACAGCAGCTCAGATCCTCTGGAACAGGCAGTGCTCAGGGAGGGTGGGGGCAGAGCCAGGGCCCAGGGCAGACAGACTGGGGGCCTGTGGGGTGTGGGTCCTGTATGTCCCCATCTGGTGCCCTGGTGTGGGGGCAGGGAGACAGCACAAGCCAAGGCAGTGCAGGTGAGCTTTGCTTCGCTTCTGTAAACTAGGAGGGACTCTCCCCTGTGGCTTGTGAACACACCCTCACCCTGTTGGTGACATTCTCTGTCCCCATACCTGAGGCCTCATGATTAGTTCCTTTCTCCAGCGTTGTGTTAAGGAAACTTCCAGGCACCGCAGAGCTGCACTGCAACACCCCTCCTGGAGTGGCCTGTACTGGCTTTCCCCAGTGTCTCTCCTCACGACTGGGTTCTGGGGTTGGATTTTTTGTGCCTGTAGAAGTGGTGGGTAAGCCATCTTTGGATGTCTGTGCAGTTGGTGTTGGACAGGGCTCAGAGATCAGAGCAGGGCGGCCGGCCTGCCGCGGTGTCACAGGGAGCCTGGGACCCTCAGTTGTGTCCTCGTGCCTGGCTCTGAGCTCAGGTCTCTGTAACGATTTGTGTTAAACCACAAATGTCAAAGACAGCTAGGAGAGGAAGCATGGCTCCCCTTCCCCTATATCCCGACCGCAAGTGGACGCCATCAGGTCCCCTAGACTGAGGTGCGTCTCTCTCCAGGGGGTGACCTGCATTACCACCTGTCGCAGCATGGGGTCTTCTCGGAGAGTGAGATGCGGTTCTATGCGGCGGAGGTCATCCTGGGGCTGGAGCACATGCACCAGCGCTGCGTGGTCTATCGGGACCTGAAGGTGAGGGTGGCGCCCTGGGGATCCTTCTCTCCCATAGGCTCCTGCCCCTGCCAGTCATCCTCTGCGTGCTCTGCCAGGGTGGGACCTCGCCATCCTGGTCGTCACGGTAACCACGGTGCCTGCGCCCCCCTGGTGCAGCAAATCCCTGAGTCAGAGGCTTTGGCTTGTTAGTTCAGGTCAGTGGGACGAGCGTCCGGGGCGTGTTACATGCTCCAGTTTATACTCGTCGTGGTCCAGTGGGTGTTCGTGGAGCAACGGACGGCCCCCGTTCTGTAGGAGCCTGGACGAGTGTTTCACAGGGACCTAGGCCGTGGGGCGGAGACCCAGAGGCCAGCGATGTGGACGACGTGGGTGACGTGGTGACATGGTGACAGCCTGCACCGTCTCCCAAGGCCAGACTCAGCCCTGCACCCACGACGGAGGGGCTCGGGAGGGGGCAGTCCCTTCGTGGTGACACTGGCTAGGCGAGCTGCCAGCGATCCAAGGGCAGCGCAGGAGGTGCAGGGAACCCGGGGAGCCCGAGAAATGAAGACGAGCCGGCGAGGCGAATGCCGGAACGGTGCAGGGAGCGGGCTGAGGACGCCAGGGACAGAGCGCCTTCCTCTCGGGCCTGGGCCGGACGATCTGACCCCTTTGCTTACAGTTCCCGTCCACACACCTAAAACGCTAGGTTTTGTGTTTGACTGTGTATTTTTTTTCACAGAATACTTGATAAATCTTAAAACATTTTCTTCAAGGTCAAACGAGGCCCTTACTTTTCATGTGAGCGTTGGGAAGCAAAGGATGCCGGGCTTTTGTTGTGTCAGAGAGGAGGAGGCAGCTGCTCCATACGGGGAATGGGTCGCAGAGGTCCGCGATGAGCCGCTGTCATCTGGCTCTTGGTGCTGACCTCGGCTTTCTGGCCGTTCAGGGGCGGTGTCCTGATTTAACGTCCATTCAGGCCTCATTTGCGTCATTCGCAATCGATTACTCACGCTCAAATTTTATAACTGAATTATATCGCTTTTATTTCAAGCAAAGGGATACTTGATCTCCAGCAGAAAGAGATTTCAAGATGGCCGTGGGTCATCCTGTGATTTGCCAGTCACAGGAAAGCCCTTTCTTCGGTCGGGGTCGCAGCCGTACTTGGCCGTTTGGCCGCCCCGGCTCCGCTGTCCTGATTGGGTTGTGTGGTGCTGTGGGAAGCCTTGATCTCTTAGGTCAGCCTCTGCGTTTTCTTCTTGGTTCACTGGGGTTTGAGAGCAGGCCTTGCACTTGCTATGTAGGTGCTCTGCTCCTCGAGCCACACCACCAGTTCTTTCTGCTCCAGTTATTTTGGAGCTGGGGTCTCACTTTTTGCCCAGGCTGTGATCCTCCTGCTATGCTTCTCGCTGTGGCTGGGATGACAGGCGTGTGCCTTCACACCCAGCTTGCTTCTGTCGAGACAGGCTCTCCCTTTGTTTGCCCTGCTGAGCTGGAATGGAGGCAGGAGCCTCTGGTGCCCGGGCAGCCTCTGCACTTGCACAGCTCTTGCTGTTGTTTTTTGCCCTCGTTCCCTGAAGTCTTTGTGGCTCATAGAAGCTGCAGGGCTGGTGGTTCCACTCCTGCTGTCAGGAGGGCCCGGACAGCGTGAAGAAAATGCTTTCCGCTGTGATGACCGGCGGTCTGGCCCCTCGGGCGACCCTCCTGTAAGGCTCTGTCTGACGGTAGCTGCCTTCGTCACAGGAGCAGTGTTCTCCTCAGTGCCTGTGCTGTGTTGGTGTGACAGGGTAGACCGTCATCTGTGTGCTGGAGCAGACATAGCGCGGTGTCACGCGCGATGTCACGTGCACACACTTGCAGAGGCTGTCACAGTCCTCCCAGCATCTCGGGGACTCAGGCGTGCCTTTGTGTTTCCCTTTAGCCTGCAAACATCTTGCTGGACGAGCATGGACACGTGCGGATCTCAGACCTTGGCCTCGCCTGTGACTTTTCTAAGAAGAAGCCATACGCAAGCGTGTGAGTCGCCCTGGTGCCGTGCCGGCCTGGCATCGGTGCCCCGATCCTCTCACCAGCTGCGGTTTCAGTACACCATGATGCAGAGTCGGGTGGGGATGTCCAGTGTCACAGGCGTGGGAGTGGAGAGAAGAACTGTGTGTGCGCAGTCCGTCACCATCCATGGGGATGGAACTGACCCCGGGTAACTGGTCGTGCTCAGGGCCCAGTGCTGTGTGAAGGAGGTGGGCCCAGCGAGAGCTGCAGATAAGCTGCCCATGTGGCCCTGAGCAAGCTGGTAACCTTTGACCCGCAGTCTCTTCTGTAAGTGGAGCTGATCGCGGACCCCTTTTCACTGTGCCAGGGACACGTGAGGAGCCCGTGTGCCAAGGAGGCGGGCAGCTGCACGGAACCCCAGGAGGGGCTGAGGGCTGCCGGCCCTCCCGCCTGCCTTTCTTTCCAAAAGCCCTTTGCTGTTCCCTGCAGAGGAATGAGGACTTTTGTCCTCTTAAACAAGCCAGTCATTCCTTGCAGTTATGGCTTTGACACTGCGGGTTGTATCGTTAGGTCAGAGTGAGTGAGGGAGGTGACTGCAGGCCGCTGGCCACTAAGGGGACACTGTGGTCACCCAACAGGAACATGAGTGACCTGGCCCGAGGCTCCTCTGACCACAGGTGTGAGGTGGCCGGCCAGGCTCTGTAGACACAAGTGAGGGACCCGGGACTCCATGGGTGACCCGCTGGACTGGTTTATCTGCAGGAGGTGGACACCCGTGCGCAGTGTACATTCAGGCCTGTGGCGTTGTCTTTAAGCATCTCGTTCTTAGCTGAGGCTTTCAAAGTTGTATCTTGCTGTTCCTCCAGACTGAAGGCACGTCACAGTGCTGGACGGCCTGGAGGACTGTCCCCACCACGAAAGCTTCAGCTTTGCTGGCGCACGCACCATGCGTAAGCGTCTCCCAGGGACAACACCAGACACTCCTAAGAGTCATTTGAATTTTTAATGCCACTGCCATTTGGTATGCTAATCTCTTCAATTTACTGCAGTCATAATATTGTACAAATGCCGGAGTTCATCAGAATCGAGTGAGTCTTTCAAAAGAGCGAGCTCTCAGATCCGGGTTCTGTGGCAGGTGCTGGAGAAGCAGCTGGAAGGCGGCCCAATCCCTACCTGCCGGAGCCGGAGCCGGCAGATCCAGGGACCAGGGACTGTGTCCTTTAAGTGACCAGTGAGCGTGTCTGTGGGACACTAGGTGGCTTATTGGCCGCCCAGACCTCGTGAACTGCTGCTGTGATGTTCATGGAGACCCCACAAGTCATGAGTGTCACCGTCCACTCCACATGGCCTGCAAGTGAGGTCCAGAGAAATTGCGTCACACCTGGCCACAGGGGCCAGAGCGTCAGCTCTGAAGCCAGGTCCTAGGCTCTGTGTACTGTGGCGAAATCCCCGAGGCTTTGCTGCTTTTTTAGGTTGAAGGTGTTTTGCCAGAATTTCACCCTGAACTTGGTTTCTCAGATCTCTTCAAAGCTGCAGAGAAAGTGCCTGGACATTGCTGAGTGGCCAGTCCATCCCCAAAGCACTGCCATGGTTGGGGCTCCTGCTCAGAGCTCAGACCTGTCCGTGTGGGGACAGGGTGACAGATGGACGAGCTTGAGTTTAGCTGTGAGGAGCCAGGGGACCCAAAGAGGACCATGGAGCTGAAGCAATTGCCAGTGGCCAATGAGGGCCAGCTTACCTGAGGGAGGGACATAAAGCCGCAGCACGGGCCCCATGTGTTGGCCAGCGGTCACGGTCTCCTCCAGTGGGTGCCAGGAAGCCGTCACTGTCGTGGGTGGGCAGATCAGCCACTCTAATCACATTCAGTGGAAGCTGGCAGACCCTCATTTGTTCCTCACTATCCTTCAGCTCCATCCATTCCAGAACTGATCCACTCAGTCCTGGGATTGTGAGTCACAGGTCACCCAGAGCTGCTGGGTTTAAACTTCCCAGAAAATGGTTTGGGTGCCTGAGGGAGGTCTCCCCTGTTCCCTGTGGGGCCATGCACCGGAAGGCAGCTGTGGTCCCCGCAGTGCCATCCACACACGGTTGTGCACTGGAGCCCTCCAGAGACCCAGGCCTGCAGGGGTGGACCAGCACCCACTGCCACCTGGTCACGGCGCTCCTTCAAGAATTCTTTTAATGACCCAAGATGAGTTTCTGAGCAGATTCCTGGTGTCTGAGCATGAGTTGTTAGAGGAGATTCAGATTCCCGGCAGGACAGCAGTGGTGGAGCTCGTCTGTAATCCCGGCTATGCAGGAGGCAGGCAATGGAGAATCCTGGTTGGTGGCCAGCCTGGGCAAAAGTGCAAGACCCTATTTGAAAAACAAAAACAAAAGGCTGGGGCACAGCTCAAGTGGTAGAGCGCCTGCCTTGCAAGCGTGAAGCCCTGAGTTCAAATCCCAGTGCCACCAAAAAAAATAAAATAAGTCCTTCATCTGGATTGAGTTCTCCTGTACACCTTGATGCTAAGCCTGTGCCATCTGCGGTCCTCAAAGCACCCCAAGGTGGATGGCTTCTTATCCATGGTGTTGGTGAAGGAAATCAGGTGCCAGTGATGGCTTTTCAGAGGTCATTCTCCTCCATGCCACAGCTCCTCCAGCTGTTCATGGACATCTGGGACCAGCACCGTGGGGCAGGAAGAGTTAGGGCAGCGTGAACTCTGTAAGTCAGGTGACATCCTGCAAGTCACAGTCGGCCTGCTGTAGCTGACCCTTGGCCCTCGAGTGGCTTTTTAGGCAGATATGAGGGCTCTACCACGTATACCTGCGTGTGCTTCCTCCCCCACACCCTCCGACTCCCAGGACCCGTCACTGTCACTGAGTGTGACCCAGCAAGCAGCCCTGCCCCCAGCACACAAGAGCGCAGGTCCTCAGCATGGGAGGGACACAGCAGAGCCCCTGCCCTCGGGTGCACAGCTCGGGGTGGTGCAGCCTGCTGGCTGTCCTGTGTCCCTCCTCCTGCTCCCCCAGGCTGGCGTCCATGGGGCTCTCAAGAAGGTGAGGAAACTGCTCCTCACTGCCAAGGACGCTGACCTTACCCGCTGGACTTGGGCTGGTGTCCCTTCTCCCTCCGTGTTGTCACATCCGTGGGAATGCCCGTGTTGGTGGAGGGGGACCTGGCTTCCCACTGGCCTGTGGGAGGCCTGTTGAACCCTGTGCCCCCTCCTTATCCATGGAGTCTGCCCTGCTAACCACCTGTCTTCCCCCACAGGGGCACCCATGGGTACATGGCTCCCGAGGTGCTGCAGAAGGGGACAGCCTACGACAGCAGTGCCGACTGGTTCTCCCTGGGCTGCATGCTGTTTAAGCTCCTGAGAGGGTGAGTGGACACGCGGGCTGCCCGCGGGCATTGCCACCAGGGACATGGGGCTGGGGGAGCCGGGGTCGCTTGCCTGGACGCATGGGCCCTGGCCCTGTGCCCAGCCTGAAGGAAACGGGCACCCTTTTGAAATGACTTCCCTGACGTTGTCTTGGGCCATGCAGTGACTGGGAACCGCACACAGCTTAGGACCCCCGTACCACCACGCGGGAGGCAGGGGCTCTCAGAGAGCTCTGGGTCAAAGCCTCACGGTTGTGTCCACGTTACGGGGATCCACAGTGCTGGAAAACTAGGACCTAAACAAAGCGAATGGCCTGCACCGGGCGTGGACTAAGAATTATATTGAATATTTGCAGACTGTTGAAGGTGGGGTAATTTTCTTGTCTACTGATGAATTTCTCCTGTGAGCTCTAAACGTTTTGAGGACTGGGAGAAACGACCCACAGTAAGCCATCTTTAAAATTTGCATTTATTCGTGAATGCACTGAAACTCATCCGTGTCTTTAAAAAGCCGATACTGAACTTGGTTTTTTAGATTGTTGAAGATGGTGAGGTGGAGGACACATGGCAGGGAATTCTCCCAAAGAGCCTGTCCTCAGTGCACACTGAGCAAGGGTGCAGCCCTTCCACGCGTGCGCCGTTCTTCTGTCCGTCAGCCACCCTGATGAGGGCCGCGCATCTGCTTAGCGCAGGGAAGACCCCGCCGGGTCCTGCACGCCTAGTTAGCTCGGGACGCCAGTCATCTGGTTCCTTCCCGTGGTGCCCATGGGATCTGGAATTGCATTACTGCTCAGACAGCGGGTCTGCTGTTCTGTAATTGAATCACTACTGGTGGGGCCGGCATGACCCCAATTCCTGCTGTCAGACTGGCTGACCTGATTAGCATCGGCAGCGCTCCCCAGTGAGAGCCTCTCCCTCGGCAGAGGCCCCGTGGTCCTGTGGGGACACCAGGAGTCCTGGTCTGATCGCACTGGGGCTGGAGGTATGGACACCATGTTTGCAGAGCACAAGGCTGTGAGTCTCTGAGTGCTATGCCTGAGGGAAAGCACAGCGGGAGCTCGCAAACGTGTGCTCAGGGTGCGTTTGCATCTTGATTTCGTCACTCTGCCTGTTTGCAGAGGTGTCCCTGCATGGAAGCTAGGGAGGATCGGGCCTGGCACCACTTTGGCTTAAAAGGCTGGAGGGTTTGGTTTGAATCTGAACTCTGTGTGACCCAGCAGAGTGATTTACAGCTGATAAAGTGAGTCCAGTGTGGCTTGGCCCCAATTCAGAGTTTAGCGCCTTGTGAAGTCCTCCATCAGGCCTGCGAGGAGCCCTGTGCTCTGTGTGGCTCCTGTCAAGAGAACTGTGGCAGACAGGACACCCCAGGGATGGTCACTGTCACAGGTGGAGGAGCTGGGGGTGATGATGGCTTCTGGGGATGGTCTAGGAGCTGCCACAGAACTTGGGGGCCAGGTAGCATGGAAGGCTGCCCTACCAGATGGAGGGTCTCCATGTTGTGTTTCTGTGTGGCGTTTTCAGGATGAACAAGACTGACACACAAGGACCCATCAGTACAGGGTGGGTGGGATCATGGGATCGTCCCTGCTAAGGCTTACGATGTCACGCCCGTGTTTGTCTTCACGGGAAGGACGTGGCACTAAAACCAAAGAGCAGGACGTGAGTTTGACTGGAGTGATTTAAATCAAGCTTGATAGACATTTATTGAGCCCTTAGAGCGCGCAAGAGCTCCAAGCCAGCGAGTGGGGGAAGGGCTCAGAAGGAGGGAAGAACGAGGGTGGGAGGAAGCCAGGCGAGCTGGTCCTTTCACAGTGTGGCCCCATGTGGGGTCACGAAATGGGAGAACCCAGTAACTGCAGAGCAGGGCCCACTTCACGTGGGACATGGCATACGGGGTGCTTGGAAGGACGGGGTGGGGGGCACAGTAGCACAAACAGGACAGGGTCCTGTGTAGAGGCCAGCAGTGCCCTCTTTGGGGCAGGGATAGTCTGTGAAGGAGGTGAGATGACCCAGAGGGCCTGGAAGGCTGGCTATGAGGCATGGCCATGCAGTGTGACCTTCCTGACATCCCAGGGACCGAAGGCCTCTAAGGTCAGCATGACATGCTGGGTGGTTCTGGCAGCAGTGGAACTGGAGAGGGACATGAGTGGGGGACAGGCTCAGTGGCTTGGCGCTGGAAAGCAGGCGAAGACCACGGTATTGCAGAGTCGTCAGCTAGAAACGGGCAATGCAGGGGTTCAGCAGGCAGAGCCTGGCCTTCTGGGCCTCTGTGTCCTGACTGTCCTGGCGGGCCTTGGCCAGAACTGTCCCTTCTGCATCCTCGACTGTCATGGAGTAGCTGCCCAGCATTGGCTGTCAACTGCAGCGGACCTGGACATGGCCTGGGGGTGCTTTGGGTTGGCATGGTTTAGAGGGGCACAAAGCCTGGAGCTGCTTGCCATCCTCAGGGCACAGGACAGTCCCCTCCCCAACAGAGACCCGTCCAGAGTGTCATCAGTGAAGAGAAAAGAAGTGCTCCCACGTCTGCAGCGAGGTGGCCTCCTTTCAAGCTGACCCGTGTCCCCACTGCTTCTGAAATGCTTTCTGAGCCCCTTGCTTTGCTGGACACCCCAGGAGAACACCATCAGGCATTTGGAGAAGGACTGGACAGGGAAGCCACCCAGGCAAGAAGGACCCACACTCTGAGCCAAGCCGCTCACCTGCCTGTTTTGGGGCGGTCAGCATGTCTGTCTCAAGTGACTCTGTGTGACGTTCAAGAGCATTTGTGTGCGAAAATGCCAACGCCTTGCAAATCTGTGACATTGCCCCTTCCTGACCTTCATCTGGATTCCGGATGTCCACTGAGGAAGGATGGTGTGGCATTGGCCTGTTTTAAGCTGCAGCTCCATCCCCGGAGCTGTAGGCGGAGGGAGAGCTGGGTGCTTTCTGAAAGTGGACGCTGCCCGTGGACTGCGTTGGTTCCTAGTGGTGAAAAGGAACGTCTGTAAATAGGCAGGGCTGTCGGCACACTTGCTGTGACAGGCAATCCTGTGGCATTCTAAAATTTTCTTTGGACATGAGTTACACCTGTATTGTTTTGGAGCTGGCTGTGGCCTGTGCACTTGTCATGTGTAATGGGTGTGTGCCACATTTCCTCGTCTGTCACGTCCCGAGTGGCTTCCTAGCTGGCCTGGGGGACACATTCAGCTGTCCCAGAGCCTCAAGGTGAGCTGCTGACAACAGTGGTCCCAGGGCCTGAGGCCATGGCCTTCAGATGAACATTACTCCTGGTCAAGGTTTCTGTACCATCTCCGGAGTAGAAACTGAATCTGGGCTTTGCTCACAGAGAATGGTGGTCTTGAGTCGTTGGGAGCCCAGGTGCATCCAAGGCTCTGCTGCAGGCCACGCTTCCCCGGCTGACCGCTCAGTGCCGAGCGGCAGAGCCGTTCATGACAGATCGAGGCTTGTGGTGCTCACCCAAGTTCACAAAGACAGCACCAGCACTGAGGGCCTCTCTGCAGGTCCAGGACCAGGTCCAGGCCAGGATGGAAGGGTCAAGTGCAGGCAGGGTGGACTGGGTAATTTCGTCATGACAGAACTCCATCTGGCTGACAGCTCTGGAGGCCGGAGGTTTAAGAACAGGATGCCAGCATCGGGAGAGGACCTCGTGCTGCCTCACGACATGGAGGAGAGCAGTCTGCGCGAGGGAGCGGCCACAGGGCTCGCCACCTGCCGTGAGACCCGCGCCATCCATCTCCGTCCTTCCTGGAGTTCTGCACCACACGCAGGTGGAATCTGTCCATAAGGTGACCTTCATTACTGGCTTCCCCGACAGCCGGCACAGGACAGAGCAGGAGAGAGCCACGTAGGTCACTAGAGGACGTTCACGTCTGACTTTGACCAGTGTCGCTCTTCAGGCACTGGCTGTCCTCTGCCGTGGCTGTGGCCTTGGCCCTGGCACTTGCCCTGTCACAGTCAATTTTCCCTCAGCACTTCTGTGAGGCGACAGAACCTGCATCAGGATGGACACTGCCACCGAGGTCAGCACACAGCTGACCCAGGATCCCAGACCTCGGGGCAGTGGTGCCTGTGACCCATCTCTATGACCCCAGGAAATGGCTGCTGAGCACTCCTGGCCCTCAGGGCAGGTCCTGTTCACTTGGTCCTGCTCTGCCAGGCCTCAGCATGTTCTAGGAACCTGGGTCCATGGTGCAGGAAAAGTGTGCCGTTGAGGTCACTAACACGTGTGAACGATGGCCCCTCCTCCCTCCCATCTCAGCTTGTTTTATCCCCAGATATTTTAATTGGAGATGCTAATTTCAGGGCCACGAGTCCATGGTGGCGAGGGTCCAGCCGTTCAAGTGCGTGTCCATCTTGCTCATTCAGGTCCCAGCATATCTGGTGGCTTGTGCTTTTCCAGAAATGATAAATGTTTTTGATCCTTGTGTCCCTGTAGCTTTGAAAGAGCGGTAGCAGGACATGACACTTCACCCCAGGGTCAGGCAGTGTCTGCTGACCACTGGTGACGGGACCTAACAAGATGTCTGTCTCTCCGCAGACACAGCCCTTTCCGGCAGCACAGAACCAAAGACAAGCACGAGATCGACCGAGCGACCCTCACCACGGTAAGGATGGGCTTTATATAAAACGCACAACACTGCTGTCAGGCCACACAGTGTAGTAACGGATGGATATTAAAGTCATAAAGAATTAATAAAATCACCAGGAGAATTTCTAAGGAGGCCATAGCAAAACTCAATATTCTCAAACAAACCGTGCAAGGAAGCCATGGCAAATCCACGCCCAACTAAACACGGTGACCGAGAGGCAGAAGCTGCGGGGACGCCTGCCTCGGCAGTGGCTCTGGGCGTGGATTCTGACACTGACCAGTAGCCGTCCCGTGTCCCCGGCTCTCAGTCCCGCCTGGCCCCCCTGTGTGGTTGGGTGGGAGCTCTGGCCACACTGTGCTACTCCCTGTCCCCCGTGCTGCCCCTTTCGTGTCCCTCGGGGTGCCCCCCATTGTCCCCCACCCTGCCCCTATCCCGTCCCATCCCTTGGGGCGCCCACCCGAGCCTGACTCTCTGTCCCCAGCACGTGGAGCTTCCGGACGCCTTCTCGCCTGAGCTGAAGTTGCTCCTGGACGGCCTGCTCCAGCGGGAGGTCAGCGGGCGTCTCGGCTGCCAGGGCGGCGGGTAGGTCTCGTCCCTGCCTCCCCGGGTCCCTCCCTGAGAGGCAGAGCAGCTGCTTTCCCAGGGCCAGCAGTCATCCCTCGCCCTGGGAAGCTCCCATTTTGCCCGGGTGGGGGTCATGGGTGTCATGTGCTGTCCTGTGTTTGATCTGGGTGGACAGGCTCTCACTGCAAGCATCGGCCTAGGTGACGGAGGAGGCCCGTCTCCCGTTGGGAACGAGTGCGTTGGTAGGAATGGCAGTTTAACAGGCTCTCAGCTCTTCTCTCAGGCAGAACCGGGGGACCCCAGTCATGCTTGCGATCGGCGCCTCTGCCCCGTGCTGGCCTCCGTGAGGCTGAGGGCCGAAGCCGACCATGGCCCTCCCAGCTCACCTCCCGCACACACGACCGCAAATGCGTGTTGTGTGCGTGAGTGTGCGCGTGTGCACATGGTGTCTGCGTCCTCCATAGATAGACGATGACACGTTCACGCGCACATTCTCATTTATCAGTTTAACAGGGCGGCGTGTTTCTGCTCTAACTGATGAAGATGCAGCTCACACATGCCGTGTCCTCTGCAGCCTCCCTTCCCGTCATCAGTGTCGCTCATCACAGCTTCCTGTTGAGGCTGGGCATCAGTCTTAGCATAGACAGACAGATGCATAGACAGGTAGACATACGGGCAGGTAGATACATAGATGATAGGTAGATAGGCAGACAGACTAGAGGCGGCCAGACCTGCATCCACAGTCAGTCGTGTACGTCACCGTCTCTCGCGGTTCTGTGGGGGGAGCGATGGCCCAGCCCCGGGAGAAGCAGAGCTGTTCCACGGGGTCACCCCTCTGACCCACCTGTTGTCACAGCTCATTTTTTGAGCTGCTGTTCCTTTGGCCGAGGTCTCTGCTTTTCTGGGTTCCCTAGTCATTCCTCAGAGCGGGGTTGTGAGGTTCGAGCTCTGGCCCCCGTGTCTGAGGCGTCCTCCCGCTGTCCTCCACCTCGACTGACCCCGCTGCTGTGCTGGGTATGAGACAGGACTCGGCTGGTCACAGGCCCATTGTCACGTGTGACGCCAGCACCCCGCTCTGGCTCATGTCCTGTGTGTGTCCACGTGATGCCTGTGAGACACCCGCATCTGTGTGTGAAAATGCCTTACGTGACAGCTGAGCTGCCATCTGAGAGTGGAAATCCTCTGGGTTCTGCAGAGGGGACAGCGTTCCCGGGTGCTTACCACCACGGGGGTTCTCTCTCTCACTCTCTCACTCTCTCACTCTCTCTTTCTCTCTCTCCAGCGCACAGGAGGTGAAAGAGCACAGCTTCTTCAGGGGTATTGACTGGCAGCACGTCTACTTACAAAAGGTATGGCCCCAGGGTGCAGAGACCACCACCTCTGCACAGCCCACTCGCCTGTCCCTGCTGCTTTCGGGTTCTGACCCCTGAAGGTCACCCTGTGGGAAACTCCTTCACATTGCTGGCCACGTGTTCCCGGGGGCTTTCATTGGCAGATCCAGCCAGCCACCTACAGAAAAGACGTTTGGTCTGTGCTGAGCATGGTCAGATGTCTTTTCTTGTCATCAGTCCCCAGACAACATGGAACCGTGGCTACTCGCACAGCCCTGGGTCTTGCCGGCCTGGAGCTGACATGGGTTACAGGGGTCACGTGGGTCCAGGCAGATGTGGTGCCCATGGGGCCTGCCTGGGAACTGTCCCTGAGGGGCCTGCGATAAGTCAGTGAAGGGCGAGACAGAGCCGAGCTGTTGCAAACGTCTGCACCGCCGAGATGTTTCGAGTTTGTGCTCATGTGTTTGAATTCTGTCTCAATAAGTGAACATCCTTTTACGTAAACCCGTGTAAACTACACAAGAAAATTGTGACGGAAACTTACATTTTTCTACCCAAGTACCACAGAACGTAAGGGTCCCTTTCCTTATTTTTACTTGTTTTTTGGCAGCACTGGGACTTGAACTCGGGGCCTCACGCTTCCTGGGCAGGTGCTGTAGTGCTTGAGCTGCCCCCCCAGCACCTTTTGCTTTCAGTTTGCTTTTCGTATACGGTCTTGTGCTAACTGCCCACAGTGGTCAGAGACTGCTGTCCTCCCTCCCCAGTAGCTGGAATTACAGTGTGTGCCACCATGCCCAGCTAAATTCGTTTAAAGCGTGTTTCTGCACGAGGTCAGGCTGCAGAAGGGCGGTGACTTTCTGTACTGGGTCCTGGGGCATTAGAGTCGGGGCTGCGGCCATGTTCGTGTGGACGCTGTCCTGCCCAGCCTCAGCTGTGCCGCGTCACACGAGGAGGAACAGCTGTTCGTAAGCTGTGCTGGGGACCCGGGGCAGTCTTGAGACCGTCCTGTGTAACCATCAGTTAGCACATTGGCCGTGCATCTCTTTTCTTCAGTTTCTCTAAATCTGGGGTCTTCCCGGGAGTGCGGGCTTCCCGTGACTCCCCGCATGGCATGCTCCGTGCAGGCTGAGCGAGCGTGGGGATCTCGCGCTGGGTCGCTGTGCAGCTCGAGGTTGGGACAGGGACAGGAAGGGTCATGTGACGTGTTCTGCTCTGTGTCCTCCAGTACGCGCCACCCCTGATCCCACCGCGGGGAGAGGTCAATGCTGCCGATGCCTTCGATATCGGCTCTTTGACGAGGAGGACACCAAAGGCGTGAAGGTAGGCCTTTGCTTTGCGCCCTCCGTGTTCCTGCTTTTTGGTGTTTTTTGGACGGGAATTTCTGCTGGGAATCAGTTACCTTCAGTTCAGACGTGTCTGGGGACACAGAGATGAGGGAGCTCCGTCAGCTGGAGTCCCCGGGAACTTTCCTTGAGCAGTCATCTTAGTCTGGAGGAACAAACTGATCAGGGAAGGAGGGATCAGGGCTTAGCCGCCAGAGTGTCTGTGGTTGGGTTAGAACCTGGAGTGTGGGAGAAGCTGCGAGGTCAGACGCTTCCCCGCTTCCCTGGCATGGAAGGGCCGTGCTGCCTCCTTCATGGTTCACTCAGATCTGCCGCGCACGCGAGGAGGGGATGGGAGACAGTGGGTCACTCCGCCTTTGTCAGTCAAAGGTGACGTAACCGGTGTTTTGTGTCATCCTCTGCACGTCTCAGACTTTTGCTCGTGTTATTATTCCTCCGAGTAGAGACAAGGCGTGATGACAAGAGGGAACTGGCGTGTCTGGGTGCCAAGTCAGAGTGTGTCACCTGCCAGGCTGCCACCTGTCCCTCTGTGGTGGCTTCTTGCAGGCGGCTCCATTCCCCAAGCTGCTTGCCCTCCTCCTGCATGCCCCTCGTTTGTCCCCACACCAGGAGCTGTGACACATTAAAACATGCTCCTGTTGAATGGGGACGGCAGAGTGACGTGGCCTGTGAGCCCGGCCAGGAGCCTCCCGGGCCGTGGGGCAGTGTGGGGGCAGCTCGCTGGCTGGAGGGACGCGAGGTGTGGAGGAGGGTGGCCGGGGCAGGGAGGGCAGCTGGGGCAGGGAGAGTACAGCCAGGGGTGTCAGGAGAGGGCCGAGCTGTGCACTGATGGAGCGTCCACAGGAGGGGCCCCGGAGGCAGAGCTAGGTGCAAGGCAAGTGCCGTGGGCCCGGCCCGGACTGTCGAGGTTGGTGGCCACCTGGAGTGGAGGCTGTCCTGTGGACAGCTGAGGCCAGCACCCAGACTTGCATGGCATCAGTGCCACTGTGCGGCTGTGCTGTGGGTGTCGCTGACAAAGCGACTTGCAGAGAGTACTGCTGTCACAGCAGAGTTTTGTTACCAGGTGTGCTGCTGCACATCATGTACTAAAGCAGAGCTGCCATCGTGCGGGAGGTCACGTCCCTGAGTCCACGAGATTCTCAGACGCGAGGCTTTTGTAGCCCAGACCTCAGCTCTGGGGGCAGCAGATGGCTCAGCGCTGCACAGTCTCGCTGAGTGGATTCCAGCCATTTTGGGGCCTCCGTTTCCCCACCCGTGACGAGGGGAGTGCACTGCTGTGCAGATCAGTGAGACGGCCTGTGTCATTCTCCAGGGCAGCGGCTGCGTGTGACAAGCTGGTGGCCTCTGAGCTTGTTTTGGGAAGTCACTTGGGGACCACGATGCTGAGTGTGGTGGGGACACGGCAGTGGTGAGGGTCCTGTCCGGAGTGAGGGCTCCGTGTGCCGGGGCAGTCGCCTCTTGAGAAATGAAGAGCAGCCCAAAGATGACACAGTTCATATTTTAAAAGCAAAAAAACCCCAAAGCAAACCCAAAATCTCACCCCATCCCCCTGTCAGCATGAATTGTCTTCTGCATTAGTTCATTTTTGCTGACATGGAGGCTTAGGGTTAGGGTTAGGGTTTCTTAGGGTTAGGGTTAGGGAGGTCCTGGAGGCTTCTGAGTGTGTGGGGCCGGAGTCCTCGCTACCCAGTGCATGCCACACACCGGGGCCTTTGCGCCTTCGTCACACTGCTACCAACCAGGGACTTCAGCTCTGGGTTTACTGGGACATTTGAGGACAGCAGGAAGTAGGGAAGGCTGTGGTCATCCAGGCAACCCACAGTGGACGCAGTCTTACAGCAGAAGACATTTGGGGGGACGATGCTGTTCCAGATCAGGGTGTGTGGGGGGAGGTGACCAAGGGACGTGCTGGTGACTCTCGTTACTCCTTTTCCTCTGAACTTCACCTACTACGTGATACCTCTGTCACCTGAGGTGTGGGGAAAGGGACATCTCTAGAGACTGGCCGCCCACGGCCTCTGTCTGGGGCAGAGAGGTCTGAGCGACCCTGAGAGGAGAGTTCACATCCCACCGTGGCTCGTGGGGGCCAAGCTGTCCCATCTCCACGCGATGCTCACTTCACATCAAACGCCTTGCGATGGCGCCTGTCACTGGGAGAGTGGAGGAGGGAGTGGCAGATGGGCCCGCGTCACGGCGTCCCCGGCTTCACAGTTCGCAGGAGGGTCAGTCACAGGGCCTCTCAGCTCCCCCTCATCATCGTTGCTGAAACTCTGTCGCTCTGCCTTCCTGCTTTCACAAAAAGAAATAGACCGAGAGCTCGCCTGGCAGTCGGGCTCTGTAAGTTGGGGTGTTAGTGGGTAAAGTGTCCACGTTTTAAGGTGGGACGTGAGACCAGTGGTGCCCTGCGTGACTGCATCACACAACTGCCACCCATGCGGTCATGGTGACGGTGTCACCCGGCGTGCCCTGTGCACAGCAATGGTGACAGCACACAAGTCTGTCATCCGACATACCCTGTGCAGTCACGGTGGCAGCAGACACCGGTGTCACCTGTACCCTGTGCAGTCACGGTGGCAGCAGACACCGGTGTCACCTGTATCCTGTGCAGTCACGGTGGCTGCAGACACCGGTGTCACCTGTACCCTGTGCAGTCACGGTGGCAGCAGATACCGGTGTCACCTGTACCCTGTGTAGTGATGGTGGCAGCACACACCGTCGTCACCTGTCATGCCCTGAGCACAGTCCTGCAGGTCACCGTGATGGGTGGGGCACGGCTGCCTTTGGGGCCGCTCTGAGTCCTGAATGTCTGGTGTCCCCACACGAGCAGCTGCTTGACTGTGACCAGGAGCTGTACAGGAACTTCCCCCTGGTGATCTCGGAACGCTGGCAGCAGGAGGTGGTGGACACTGTCTACGAGGCAGTCAACGCCGACACTGACAAAGTCGAGGCCCGGAGGAGAGCCAAGGGCAAGCAGCTGTGCCACGAGGAAGGTAAGATGGTGGTGGGGCCGGCACCACCCAGCACTGCAATTCCACCATTTCTCACAGTGCCACAAGGCGTGGGGTCAACAGAAGGCACCTTATTCGGTGTCATGGGGTGAGACAAGCTAGTGGGTGTGTCACACCCGGTCCCCCCAGGCGAGGGTGCGGTGGCCATGCTTGGTCCAGATCTCTTCTCCTGGAGTGTCTGGGAGCTCAGTCCTCGAGGACAAATACAGCAGGGTCGGGGATGGGGGTGTCACCAGCGTGGGACCTCGTGGTCACACAGGGCAGTGGCTTGGTTCAGTGCGCATCGTCACTGTTGAGATGTTTTTTGGAGAAGGCCTGCAGTGTCGTTTTGCTCCTGTCCCCACTACGTGTGTGGCTGTCTGGGTGAGAGCCGTGGCAGGACATGTCACTGTCGAGACCGACAAGCACACCGCACGTTCACGTCACAGACCACGAGAAGCCACGTGTGTCTGTTTCACTGAGCGTCCTGTTCGCTTTCCAGACACAGAGCATCAGGCCTTCCGGTCCCTGGGGCCTGTCAGTCCGTGACTCTCTGTAGTGCTTGGGGCAAGAAGTCGCCTCATTTGCCTGTGAGGGCGACCAGAGCCCACGTGACAAGGGCAGAGACCCATTCTCTCCGTGGGGTCACTGGAGGGACCATGGCCCCATGCCGGGCACTTTGTAATGGCTGTCTGTTCTCAGCACTTAGGACCCAGGAGGAACAAATGGCCGGGAGCCCCTGCACCCACGCTCCTGAGCCGGGCGATGGCCGCCAAGTGCGCGGTGCCGTAGAAACCCAGTTCCCGCACAGTGCGCGGTCCGCGGAGCCCGTGTGACGCCCTGTCTCCGCCTGCAGATTACGCGCTGGGGAAGGACTGCATCCTGCACGGCTCCATGCTGAAACTGGGGAACCCCTTCCTCTCACAGTGGCAGCGGCGTTATTTCTACCTCTTCCCCAACAGGCTGGAGTGGCGAGGAGACGGCGAGTCGCGGGTGAGTGTGGTACCAGCATTGTCCACCTGGCGTGGGACGGTCATGTCAGACTTGAACCTCTGAACCCCGGAACCCCCAGTGGAGTCCCAGTCAGGGAGGAGCTTGTGGTGTCTGGAAACTGCAGGCATCACGCAGAGACCCGAAGCCTTGTGGGCTTAGTGGGGGACGCAGGCTGGGGGGCAGCCAGTGGGGTCAGGGAGAGAAGCTGGACCTGGAGCCAGTGGGCAGCTCAGGGTCTCCAGGGATTAAGCACAGTCCAGGGACTCCCAGCCTCAGTTTCCCCCTCTGTGGAAGGGAACAGCAGAAATCCACTGTGCTCACATGAGGCCTGGCACCCAGAGGAGACCAGGCTTGGAGAGGCAGCTGCTGAGGGGACCCTGGCCTGGACGGGCCTGCCCGTGTCCCATCTCCCCCCATTCACACAGGCCAGGTCGCCACAGCTCCTTCCTTTTGTGGGTGGCGTTTAAGACACGGGACAAGGCAGCTACCTTCTTGTCTCCCCAAAGCTAAGTGTGGGAATGAGGCAGGAAGAGACTCCTGATCCCCGCTGCACCTGTAAGCAGACCGAGCTGCGTTTATTGAGCGTCTCTGGTGTGAGGAGCCCAGACTGGCCACCATGGAAGGAGCCAGCCCTGATTATGACACCCTGTCTAGGTAACGCAAGGCTGGGGACAGGGCCCAGACCTGCACGTGTGACGCCGAATCACAGTTCTCCGTCTCTGTGGGCAACATTGCCACTGAGTTACGAGGGATTATAATTGCTTACGACCCAGTTTCTGTAAAAATGAACAAAATCGGTGTTGGACCGGAGAAGTCACTTTGAAGATTAGCACAGCCAGGGGCTCAGGGTCCTGCCCAGGCCAGGGACGGGAGGCCAGGACGGTGCTCCTGTGTCACAGTGCACAGAGACAGAGCCTGACCCGGCCCAGCAGCATCGATGGTTCAGGGTCCTGCCGAGGCCGCGTGGGGGCGCGCGTGGCTTGGGAGCGTGATAAGGAGAACGAGGGCGTGGGAGTGGATGCTGGTGGTGGTGCTCATTTAGGGTCCTGGAGTGTTCACCCCGTAAGTGGCGAGGGGCTCACGGAGCTGTAGCCTTTGCCTGTGCGACGATGGTGTAGACCTGGTGTGATGCTCTTGAAGGACGTCACCTGTGTTTATAATGACATCTTAACAGCACTGACATACCCCCCCAGCTCACAAGCTGACGCTGCCTCACCGTGTGTCCCTCTTCCCGAAAATCCTGGGTCACCCCTGGGTCACGCGCAGTGTGACTGACGGACAGCGTGTGAGACGCGCGATGCGTCCGTCCGCCGCTCAGTGCTCATGGCCCTGCGAGACCAGGCCCTGGGGGCTGTGCGCTCGGGGACACGCGGCTTTCTTTGCGGTTTTCTTGGGCACGTTGTCACTGGAGCTCCTATGCGCCCTCTCCCCTGGCTTCTAGAGAGTCCTCGGAGAAAGAAAAATGGTTTCCTAAATTGCTTAGCAGTGTAAGCTGAGAGCTTGCAGAAAAGCTTGAAGTAACTTTGTGGTTTTATGCTTAGCAAAGCCTCCTGACCATGGACCAAATCTTGGCCGTGGAGGAAACGCAGATCAAGGAGAAGACCTGCATCCTGGTCAGGGTCAAGGGCGGGAAGCAGTTCGTGCTGCAGTGCGAGGTGAGTTGCCCTCCATGATGCCAGGGTTGTTCCCACACGTGGCAAGAGGGCCGAGGACGAGACTGTCACAGACGGGGACACAGATTCTGGGAAGTAAGTGAAAGGATTTGCTCGCCCTGTGGGAACGCTCCAGACTTCACCATTCCTGAAGTTGGGGTCTCGGCTCTCTGCAGGTTCGGGCTGGGGTTGGCGGGTGACAAGCAGGAGACCCGGGGGACTTGCAGGGGTCCATGCGGCACCTTGGCGGGTGCCACACAAACGGCACATTTTAAATAACGGCCTTGTCACCTCACACACATGAATGTCCCTTTCGTTGTCCCCAGTCCCCACATATGTGGCCGTGTAGGACTCAGGCCATCGCGGCCTGTGGACACAGCCGTGGTCATGGGGTGTGGGGCTCAGGGTGCCTTCTCTGGGGGGCTCTGAGCAGGTGCAGCAGACCTGGCCTCAGGGACATGGCTGCAGGGCGGGCAGGCAGGGCACGTGTCCCTTGGTCCCCAGGATGCTAGCCGTTCCTAGGGTCTGCTGGCCGGTGGGGAGCGGGTCCCACCCCTGCCCGTGTCTCCATGCAGAGTGACCCCGAGTTCGTGCAGTGGAAGAAGGAGCTGACGGAGGCCTTCACCGAGGCCCAGCTCCTGCTGCGTCGCGCCCCCAAGTTCCTCAACAAAGCCCGGCCTGGCCTCGTGGAGCTGTCCAAGCCACCGCTGTGTCACAGGAACAGCACCGGCCTCTGACCCCGGAGCTGCGGGGGCTCGGAGGCCACGGCCCTTGGCCCTGCAGCAGAGCCCGGGAAGCACAGCCCGGGCCCCTTGTGGTTCTGAGCATGGGCTCTTGTGAGCCGGGGAGGCCCTGAGCACAATGCCCTGGTGGGAACGGAGGTGTCCTCGGGGCCGGCGGACTTTGGCCCTGCTTGAAAGCTTTGCCACAGTCCAGACTACTGAAGAAGCAGAAGCTTACTCTCATGGCTGCATAAATTTTGGGGTTCACTGACCTTGAACTTGAAATGACTCCTACTGTCCCTCCCCCCTCAGATTTTTAAATCTAATGTCGAACAGCTCAGACTTTCCAGGAGGGAACTCACAGGCCTCCAGTGCCCGGCTCCGTGCCCTGGGGACAGCGGGCAGTGTGTCTGTGTCCTGGGCTGGAGGCTGACGAAGCCTCCTGACGGTGGCCCCTACTTGGTGCCCCCGGCATGGCCGTGAGTGAGGTGGGCGATGGGGACCTGAGCCCAGGGTGTGGGGTCCTCGGTTGTGGAGGGCACCATTGCCTGCGTGGGAGCAGCGCAGTGCTGACCTCAGGCAGGGCCAGTGGTCAGAGCCATGCAGCGCCCAGCGCACGCGTCCTGCCCGAGCGCCAGCGCCTCCGCGGTGGGTCCTTGGCTGGCGTCAGGAGACATGGCGATAATGGACGTGCTGGAGAAAGGAGAATCTCGGTTTTACCTTTCAGTTAATTTCAAGTGAATGTGTCCGCGGCTCACTGTGCAGGTGACTTGTGTCCTTCATCGCTGTTAGCGAGCATTGCTTTGTACTGGGCTGTGCTGTGATGGTGATGACACCCGGGGTTGTCCCCGCCCAGCCATGCCCAGGGGGGGCCCCGCGAAGGAGCAGCCGAGCCCCGTGTCCTCAGACAAAAAAAATAATTTAAAGTCCACATCTTTGTCTGGTGCCTGGCGTGGTTTTAGTGAGCGTCTCTAAATTAACTCAGAAAACGAGATTACGTCCTGCTGTTCTGTCTCAGTGGCTCCAAGTTGTGTGGTCACTGGGAAAACAAGGACTTTTTATTGAAAATCATATTTTAGAATTTGGCAAATTTGCTGAAAGGATCTATTATTTCCCAGGAGTGGGGGGGTCTCCTGTGTGTCTCAGTCAGACGTGTTCCCCGCCTGCCGTGTCCAGTGGGGGCACACACAGCACACACGTGTGCGCACATACACATAGAAATACACTCAAACACACACGTACACCCACACGTGCCCAGGTGTACACACGCCTACCCACACACGGATACACGCCACACCCCTGGTCGTGTGCCCACCACACACGCCGCCAGGAGCAGTGTCTCCTGGCCGCGGTTAACTGCAGGCATGACCTCGAGGTGTCACCTGGGCTGACCGCAGGCCCCTGGGCGCTGGGCCAGCCTCGGACGTCTGTACTGTGACATGAGCGACGCCCTGCAGGTGGCTTGTCCTTCCCATCCTGGCCGGAGGATTGAGTCGGTTCTTCTCTGGAGGAGAACTTGGTTGTCTCGCTCTCTTGGAGAGAGCCCGTGTGGACGCTGCCGAGGACGCGAAATGGCCTTGTCAAAGCCCTGACCCAGAGATGTGTGGTGTCATCTGGCCCGGGGGCAAAGGCGACGTCCTGCTGGACTTGGCTCTTTAGCTTGGAGCTCGTGGATTCCACGCGTGGTCCTGCTCACGCCTGGACAGTTAGCAGGGACAGTAAGCCCGCGTTTCCTGATGGTTTCAGGCTTCTGTCGTTTGGATGTTCTAACACCGTCCAGGAAAGTGACCGCGCTTGGTGTCATTTTTATCAAATTGTGTGGTAAGCCTCGATCTCATAACTCAAAGGAATCGGTGCAGCAGAGCCTCAAACACGGGGTCCTTAAGCTGCTGGTGACGTCCGTGGAGCGCCCTGAAAACGAACCCCAGCTTGTCCTCCTGACCACACGGCTTGTGTCCCCAGGTCCCCAGAGTCCCTCATTTTCCATCTTCATTATGTTTGAGAATGACTTTGTGACAACACTTCTGCAGATGGCTTCACGGTTTCACCTCCCAGCCAGAGCCATCCCCGAGCTGGCCGCTCACCGCCACTTACAGTTTTGTCCCAGAGTGAAGTGTCTTCCTGCATCAGGGAACGAGTGCGTCCTGCTGAGCACCGTGTGACCGACTTGAGGTTGTGTTTCTGTGTCATCGGTCCGGGTCCGTGTCCCTGTCCCTGTGTGTGTTGTGGCTGGTGTGTGGTTTTTGCACTGACTGAGGTGTTGTCCTGTGTTAACCATCTTGTGGGTTTGGCGTTTTCCGGGTGGAGGAAGGTTGGACGAGCGAGGTCCCCACCCTGTTCCAAGAGAAGCATTTTGTCACTTGCGGGATCTGTCATTTGCAGATCTGTCACTTGTAGGACCTGTCATTTGCAGGATCTGTGGGTTTCTCTCATCAAAACACCCTTTCTGTTGTTTCCGATGACATCTTCTGTCGTCTACGCAGTAAAGCTCTGATCACGCAAATGTCCACATGGGTCACGCTCTTCTCCTGTCCGCACGTGTGGACCCGCAGTCACCAGGCAGCACTGTCACGGGCTCCCCAGTGTCCCTAACGGTCTCTGCCCTGTTCCATGGCCTTGTGCTAAGAGATTCAGGGACACCTCAGGGCCAGGCCGAGGGACCAGCAGGTGACAGGGCAGGCGAGTCCTTTCCCTAGTGCCGTCCTGCAAGGACTGGGGGAGCCTGTGAGCCTTGTTCCCCGTCCTGTGACTGCCACCACCCCATCCGTCTTGTCACCTTCTCCTTTACCGGAAGGCTGTTTGCAGCTGCCATGGGGAGATTGAAACACACCCGTCACCCCCTGCTACTCAGAGCAGTCTAGAAAACCGGGTCCTGCAGGGCTGGGAGTGGCGCATGTGTGAGGCCCTGGGTTCAAATCCCAGTGCTGCCAAAAAAAAAAAAAAAGGAAATGGGGTGAGAAAAGCAAACATCTCTGTGTGCCATCACACCCTGGCTGAGGATTTATGTGAAGCAGAATTAGAGCAGAGAGAGAGAGAGAGCAGCCCCTCAGCCGCCAGCCACCTCTGCCCATCTTCCACAGTACCAGGTGACCTTGTCTTTGGCCACATGTCACACCCTCTAGAAACAAAGCCATGTCTGTTGCGAATCTCTGTGGGTGATGAAGCCGGGAGTGGACGCTGGAAACCTCGATGCCCCAGAAACAGCCCCGTGTCCTGACCACGCCTTCTCGTCAGCCAGGGTCACATTTGTCACAGGTGACCTTGAGGGGTGCAGATGTCCAGGGCTGCAGGCGTCTGGGTTTGTGAGTGTCCAGCTCTCCCTTTCCCGTCCTGCAGACGTGGTCTCCATGTGACAGCCATGGGCCTGGCCTCTGCCCAGCACCGAGGACGGGGACAAAGTGGGGTCAGTTTTTCTAGGACCTGGACTGGACTCCAACTTTACCCCAGGGTAGCCTGGAAGGATCCCTGGCCTCGCGCCTGCTCCCGGGTGCGGCGGGTGTTCGACACCAGCGTGGGTGTCTGAGGAGGGAGTGGGTGTGAACCGGGGGCATCAGCGGTGGCGCACGGTGCTTGCTCCCTGCACACAGGGACCTGGGTTCGCGATGATGGTCCCTGCGGTGTGCACCCCAGGCGCTGGAGGGGTCCTGACTGCTGTTTCTCTTGGGAGCAGAGGGGTCACCCTGGGGAAGGGGGGACACCATGCCAACGACCTTGAGACGCCACAGCCCAGCGAACCGTCACCCGACCTTTGTCCTCAGAGTCCCCATGTGGACAGGACACTGCTGTCACAGACATCCCAGAGGCGCTGGCCTCTCTCAAGTCAGCTGCTCTGACTTGAGATCCCTGCTGTTCCCAGGGCCCCGTGTTGGTCTTTTTGATTTTTGCAGGACTCGGCCTTGTCAGGCAGGCACCAGCTGAGCCGCTCGTCCTTTCCATTCCAGTTTGTTTCTCAGGTCGGTCCTCATGCTTGTGACTGGCCAGCCTGAGACCGTGGTCCTCCTATCTTACCTCCTAGATAGCTGGGATTACAGGCGTGGACCACCATGCCTGGTCCCCTCAGTATTCTGACTGTCTCCAGCTCACTATTGGCCCAGCCCAGAGGTGGACCTGACACTTGGTCCTTACGTCTTTCTGTCCCCCATGTCAGGGATTGAAGCCAGAGCCTCACGCGTGCTGGGAGGTGAGCACCTCGCCACCGAGCTGCCCCCGGCCATCGCGGGCTCTGAGCCTTCAGCGGCTCCACGAGGCAGGACGGGCGGGGCGGTCGTCCCCCGTCCTCTGCCTCCTGACTTCGGAGCGCCAGCAGGTAGATGTGGATGAAGTGTAGACTGCACGAAAATCGCACGGGGCGACTGCTGAAAGGAGCTAGGGAGTGACTTCCAAACTACGAGGACCGGACGCAAGAACTCAAGTGACTTTTCTGGAAGGAAACAGCAAGGGCAGAGATTTTAAGTATTTCCTTTTATTTTCTTTCAAACCCACACAGGGCCAGGTGTGGCTCTGACAAAGCACTCGCCTAGCACGTGTGAGGCCCTGGGTTCAAATCCAGCACCACACAAAACAGAACGTGTTACTTACGTTTGCCTCCCTATGACCTTGTGCCCGAGAGGACAACGCTCACAGCGTTGGGGGCACATCCCAAGGTCACTGGGTCTCCAAGCGCGTGGGCAGAACACCGTGGCAGGATGTGTGGTGGAGGAGCGTCTTCAGCAGGTGGCTGACTGGACGCAGCGATGGCGAGGAAGGGACTGGGACCGGGACCAGGTATGACCTCCCGAGCCAAGCACAGCCCTGGTGACCTCCTCCGGCCAGGCCCCACCTCGCGAAGTGTGCCAGCAGCCGATGCGGACACCACGCATGAAAGCCATGCACCCGAGCCTTCGTTTATTATTCAAGCCGTGACAAAGACACACGGAAAGCAGACAGCTGCCCACAGAGGGAGGACCAGAGGCCTGAATCCGAGCTGCTCCCTCCTGCCGACCAGTAAGAACTCGGAGAACCCAGCAGACGGTGGCACAAGAGGACGCACAACACAGCCAGAGCCGTGGGCCAACGGTTTCCACTTCAGATAAAAAAGGAACTTAGCCGGGCGCAGCGCCTCACACCTGTAATCCCCGCGCTCTGGGCTGAGGCAGCAGGAGGACCGCGAGCTCCAGGCCTGGGCTGCACAGCAAGGCCCTGCCTCAGACAGAAATGGCCACCAGTAATGGACGTGCAGGAGGACCAAGTAACAGGGAAAGTGGGAACAGCAGGGTCCCCGTGCAACGGTTGGAACAGAGAAGAACCCGAAAATGAAGGAGGGAGAGCGCGGGGGCTCCAGGCGCCTCCCGCATGCAGACGGCCAGGTCAAGGTGTTTGTATTTCACCTGTCACCTGTGTGTCCCTGTGGGTGGTGACGTCTGACAGTTTGGGACAACACAAGGCCGTTAGGACGCCTTCGTCTAACAGGTTATTTTAGGACTCCGCAGCCCTGGGCCGAGAAGAATGCGGTGTGGGATGTCCCCATGATAGCGGGAGACACGGGCCTCATGGCTTTGCTGGGGACAGGTCCATGCATGGACGGCGTCCAGACGGCCAGGGAGTTGGGAAGGGTGGTCGCCTGGTGGTGCCGGGGACATGGCTGGGCACCTGGGAGGGGCTCAATCCCTCAGCCGTCCACGGGGGACAGACGTTTTCCTCGGGACAGACATTTGCAGGGCCAGATCTGCAGGAGGCAGTCGGCAGGAGAGCGATGTTGGAGCACCGTCCCCTTTCTTCTGGCCACAGTGTCCCTTCCCTGAGCCCTGGGGTGGCTGCGGAGCAGGTCACAGTTTCCCCATTTTCCTAAGGGGCCGCCACAGCCACCTGGGCCATGAGCAGTGGTGACATTGGGGACACAAATGAAGCAACTACACTTATCCTGGTGACCTTTGCCAGAGAGTCAGCCACGGACGCCATCTTGGCTGTCCACATCCTCTGTGGCAGAAATGAGCTTGACTCAGTAGCTCGGTGCTGTCATCGACGGCTCTTGTCTGTCATCCCCCTTAGGGGTGTCACATCAGATGCCACCTCCAGTCTCATTCTCTTCCTGGGTGGCCGTCCCCAGTGGCGGTGTACAGGGCTACGAGGTCCTGACCTTCC